GCAGTTGCTTCTTACAGTGCGAGCATGGTCTAATGTGATTGTTCGAAGTTTGTAAGGCATCTCTTGGGATTTCAATGTGCAAGCCAATCTTTGTTTCGATTTTGGAGTTTCACTTGCCATCTTTGGATTTGCGATTTCCGAGTTTGCTTGGAAAGCTGCTTTGGATCTCGATTGTTGTAGAGACTCATTGGACAGAACTGCATTTGTTGTGTTGGATGCATTTTCATGTGTTTCTGTAAGTTTGATGTAAGACCGGAAAAGCAGACCAGCAATCTTCTTAATGAAGATGTGGCTTCTGGAGCTGGACTGGCCGCTCCAGATGCTGCGCCCGCCCTAGATTACCAAGACGGTCATCAAGCGGCATTCGAGCAAGCATTCAGGCGCCCGGCAAGAAGTTCCACCATCCGCAGGCCCGCAACCTGGCAATGCAAGCAAACAACTACAGGCAACTCCGCGTGGAAGGCCATGTAGGCAAACCTCTCCGCAACAGTTACTAAGAATTCTACAAGCGAAACTGAAGCACCTTCCGCGTACTGCGGGGCCCCATGCAAAATGACGTTCCAGGGTGCAAGCGTTTCGGGCAGTTCCAAGAGCCCTTACGGTCCGAGAGTACCTGAACCAACAGGCAACCCTTGTACATTTGGAGGTGCACATATCTTAGGACTGCATGGTGAAGGGACGCAACCGGAAGGGGCAATCCGTACCAATTTCTCCAAGGGCAAGACGGAGAGGCACTTGGTGTAAAACATGCGCCTAGACCTACATTAAAGAGGGCCCGCGTAAGTGCAGCTGGTCTGTGGGCCTTACTTGGAGTTTCTTCCTCTTGTAGTGGACTTTTTCCCCGGAATTTTTCTTGCAGCAGCACGGCCATCCACTTGCGACATACGTCGTTTTGTGCATTGGCCCCGGTTGAGCTCTTCTGCTTGGCCTGTGTTATGCCACCGCTGAATGTACAATATGGCAACCTTTGTCACTTTAACTTGTTAGCAAACCCCAACGTTGACGGCAGGTTTCCGGCTGATAACGGCAACGGGCATGCAGGCCAATTTAGTTGTTGTCAAACAGTTCCACAACTGTGGAGAATCCAAGCAATAACCGTGCGGGTTCAAGCGGGTGGAGAGCGTCGCCAATCAGATTGCGCGCCATTGTAACTGGAACGCCAGCGACCGCCAGGGGTGCTTAATTTATCTGGGGCAGGGACCGACCCAGGCGGCTTTATAAGTGGCGTCCACTAACGGGTTTTGTTCCAGTTGGTAGTTGGTACTGGCGGCCGGATAGACCCAGTGATTATCAAAAAATGCGGTTCTGCAAAAGAAAGGCGTTGTGTTTTTAATTGTGTAACGATGTTTGGGCTTAGCTGGCAACATACGTCGCTGGCCAGTTAAACAAGAATCTGTGCTAGAACGGGGTTAGCCGCCACCAGTGCCATGGAGATGGAGCTATTTACCACGCGCTATGTGCTTGCAAGACTCTGGGTGCACAAAACGGATGGATGTGTGTTGCCCAATCTCTTTTGGATGCTGGGCAATTTCTGGACGTTTGTCAAATCAAACCAAGCTCTTTCTGCCAAAATGTGCATGTCCAAAGCCGTCAGAAGTGTTCCAATTTTGGCTACTCCAAAGACCAACTTCTCCGCAAACTTTGCAGAACCGCTGCAACGTTTTAATTTGCTCCAAACTTAAACTTACGCAAACACAACCAAGATTCAAACTTTTTCTAAAGTGTTCTTCCAAACTGTTGCTGTCAAAGAATCAGCATAGAACCATCTGCTGCGTGTTGTATTCTGATTCCTGTGTTTTCTGCGATCGCGGAAGCACTTGTGTTTTTTTCCCAATTTCAAGATTGTCGGCAAGTCTGTTGGTTGGAAGGCTGCTGGTTTAAGGAAGTACACTGTTGTCCAGCTCTCATTCATTTGGTACAGCTCGCGACTTTGCGCCTGTGGTGCAGTGTTAATTCTGGCTTCGTTGCTTTCGAACGTGTGCCGTCGCATATCTACAAGCTTCATGTTCGCCATTGCGCGACCTAGACTTTGCGGGGAGCTGGATCCGTGTTTCTAGGCATTGCATTCTAGACCAACGTTGGTGTCTGTACGAGCGGCAAGACCAATTTCCATGTTGGCTATTGCGCAACCCAGACTTTACGGAAGCAAGACCGGTGCTCCGAGACTCGCATGCACTTTAATTCATGCTGAAAACTTTACACTAAGTCTGTGCGTCGCAGTTCTGTTTCACTTTCTTGGGCATTAGTTCTTTTTTTTCGTTCTTTATTGCTTTATTGTAGTTCTCACGCTCTGAAGTTCAACTTTCAGTTTGTTTCTGAGTTTTGAACAGTTTGGAGTTCGAACCCAGGCTTCGAGGTCTGGAGTTCAACTTCGATCAACTCTGAGTTCGAGAGTTCCGTTCAACTCTCACGTTAAAGTTCGAACCTGGGGTTTGGAGACACTTCTAATTCCACGCTGGCTTCAAGAGCTTGAACAGCCCGGTGGCGAATAGGTTGTCTGCTTCTTTCATCTGCAGTGGCATTGGATATGTTGGAAGCACGTTGCTTGGTCAGTTTGGCTTTCGTTGTTCCAATTGCTTTGAGTCTTTCCTTCATCATTGTTGTTGTTGTGTCAAGGAAAATTTTTATGTACATGGCAGATGCATGTGTAGATGCGCTGCATACTTGTTGGATGAATTGGATTCTGCGTTTTTTGAAGCATTCTCATGAGCAGGCAATAGTCGAGCTATTGTAGCAAACGGCAAAATGTCTTTTGCCGAAGAGCTTGAACATGAATTGGGAATGTTTCATAACCGCATCTGGGTAGGTGTGTCTTTGGCCAGCAGCGATGCTTTGAATCTTCTTAACCAGTGCAACTTGATGTTCCCAGGCAGGCGAAACTGATTGAGTTTTTTGCCGGGGATTTAGGATGTGGTGTGTTGATTTTCTTGTGTTTTTTGAATTTGGACTCCTCTGCTTTTATGGCAGTTCTGGTTGAAGGGTTCAGGGTTGTTTCTCATAGTTTCACATTGAAGCTTTGGGGTTCAGGGTTTCGGGTTTATTTAGAAGGTTATGTTCAAGTTTCGGGAGTCGCATGTGGGGTCGAGCATTCAAGATTGAGGATTCCAGGGGCACCGATAATTCACCCGAAAAACCAAGATTGCAGGCCTGTTCTTCGTGATGTTATTTAGAATCCTGAATTTTCAACACACCTCGAGGCCCTGGGCATTCTATAATCATTTCGAAGCACCTTACGGAGCTTATCTATGCAGAGACACCAACTTACGGGTCGGCTGTGAAAGGTCCAGGCGGCAATTGAAGAAATCTTGTGTAGTTGTTTCTCCCGAGCCCGGCGAGCTCGGGAGGATTCTGTCAGGTTCCAGCTGGGCAGCAGCGTCGCAGCGCACTACGAACGGGCTTGGCCCCGACATGTGTTCGGCTTTGTGGCGGGGAGCCGAAGTGTTCACAGGTAACGGAATTGGTTATGGGACTATTGTTGAGGATTATGAAAAGACTACTATAGGGATCCATTCCCCCATTCCCTAGAAAGCACCACGGAGTGTAACCCTCAGCTCTTCTTTACCCTAAGCCTTGTCTACTATTTACCCCAGACCCCTATCGGTTAAAGCCAAGATCCGACTCGAACTCTCCACCCTACCTTAAGGTAGAGTCTAGGCTTTAAGCCCGGTTTATGACCTTTCCGGGCTTCTACTTTAGAGGGCTCGGGCCAATTGTTGAGGCCATGCCCTGGAAATCCAGAAACCTCGGAATCCGCAAGCCACAGGCCGAAATCCTTCCGAGCTCCAAGACGGGAGCCTCAATGATCCCCATACTTGAATTGTCTTGCAGGGTTGCAGATCTTCTGGCTTAGGATTCAAAGGTGCGGGTTTGGTTGGACTAGAGCCTGGGCCTTGAGGCCGTCGTCCCAAGCCAACCGCCGCGTGTCTGGCTCAAGACACCACCCGGCATGTGGGCAAGTTGTTTGGTGAACGGAGCGGCTAGCCTGCAGTTTCTCTTGGCTAAGGGCCCTTATCGAAAGAAAGGGGCCTGCAACACTTGATGGATCACTTGTCTGAGCAAGTCGGCAGGCTTATAAGTAAGGTAACCCCATCTTAGAGCATTGCGACAGCTACTCTTCCAACCTACTTGCTGCTTCCCCTGGTCCTTCCAGTGATCCCTAAACCCGAATCCCAGCCCAAATAAAACCCCAACCCCTGGAGCCCTACACCCTAAACTTTAAAACGCAAGAAAACCAGATATAGGGTTTAGGGTTTAGGGTTTACGGTTTGATTTCCGTTTGTCATGCTGCAGCTTAGAATCGTGAGCCTTTTCCCTTCAATCGATAGGGTGGGGTGGCCTTCCCCAATGATCCCAAACCCTGAACTTCAGAAGCTACCGAGCTTGGGCGTAGCCCCAATGCTTAGAAGCGGGTTGAGTGCTCCCCAAATCCTCTACAATGGTTGCTATGGGGGAGTTTGGCATCTGAGGCTCGGGGGCTCTAGGGTTTAGGGTTCTTGTTTAGCGTTTAGTGCCCAGGGTTTAAGGCGTCTTGGGAGTTGGGCCTCGGAGTTAGGGTTGTTTTCGGGTTTAGGAGTCTTTTGGCTTTGCTAGAGCTTTAGAAAGAGCCAGCCAGCTTAAAGAGGGCATCTACACTTGTAGATTCTAACCTCCTTCAGCCCTAAACCTTCATGATTACTAGTACCCTAAACCTTAAACCGCTAAACCCCTAAACCCTGAACCCTTAAGGCCTAAACCTGCATGATTGAAGCCTTTGAGAAGCACTTCCCCGGCATCGCTCGGAGCACTTTCGATCCGGTCTCCAGCACAAGAATTATACTCCAAGCCCCAGACCCCAAATATGTCCCAAACCCTTAAAACTTAAATCGTAAGCCCTAAACCATGAACCCTAAACCCCCAAGCCACAAACTTGTCCCAAACCATCACCTCAAAGCCTGAAGTCTTCCAGGTTTTCATATTCTTGGGCACACTGGGGCACTCCTTCCTCGGTGGGTCCCCGGCACATGGGCCGGTCGCCATGGCCTCGGTAGCTGGTTTCAGCTGCATTTCGGGCTTCTTGGGGAGTCTCTGTCGTCTTGGTGAGGTTCCATGGGTTCTCATAGCTCCTGCGGTATGTATCTAAGGCATAATATGCATGTCTTTCTGTTTGCCTTGCTTGCTGGCCGGGGCTTTGCATTGCGGGTGTAGGGTTGGTCAAATCAGCACGACGTTAACGTGTAAACATGCCACTGTGATCTGAGAGTTTCTGAGCAGCTGCGGCATGCATCGCAGCTGAGCTGCTTCAGGGTTTTTGCGCAGATTCTCCAGTTACACGGCGCTCCCCGCCCCTCCGCTGCTCTCCCCTCCCCTCCACTCTCTCCTCCCGTTCTCTCCTCCGCTCCCTCTGCTTTTGTCAGTAAGGCTATTGTTCACTCAATGGATCTGTGCGTTTACAACTACTATTCGTTTGATTGCATCCTTCTGTTCAGCTGTCCCCACTATGTTCATCTTCGCTGACTTTTCATACTTTCATGGTAGCCTTTCCGTTCTTGTGCCTTGCATCATCATCATCATCATCCTCACCATCATCCACATGTAAAAGGTTTGAAACGTTGTTAGTCGTGTGCTCGTCGAGGAGAGTACTACCATGGCTATACCGGATCGTCTGTTGTTATTGGTACTCTGACTGGCTGTCCTCCATTGATTGGCGGCTAAGATGGACCAGCCAACTGAATGGCATCTTGGCTGCAGATATCTTCGTTTCAGGAAGTGTGCGCGGGCACAGATGCCGGAGCATGGTTTAGGCTTTAGGGTTTAGGGTTATACTAACTGCCATGGTTTTCATATGATAGGATTGTCAGCCCGTTCTGCAGCTTGTCATTCTAAGACAGGCACAAGACTATTCAAAACGCAAAATCGGCGAGGTAAGGAGCCCGCAAACATGAAGCTTAAGGAGCCCGCAAACATGAAGCTTGCTTTTCCAAACATGGCCTAGGCCCTACACCCGCACACACACTTAAACCCCTCGGCCGGAGACCCCGATGTCACAAACCCCAAAACCCTTTTCTCAGTCCGTGGCGTATGAACCCGGGGCTGGCTTGTAACTCGTCGCATCACAACCTGAACAAGCACAGTTTTGCCAAGGAGAAGATCGTACATTAGGATGTTGAGAATCGGGGGGGGGGGGTTTACGGCCTAGGGCTCACGCTTTCAGTCTTTAAGGGCTTCGAGTTTAGGGTTCAGGGTAGGGTTCAGGGAAACTAGAACGTCATGGCAAAGCTAGCTACGAGAAGGGCAAGAACAAGCAGAATCAGCGACACTCTCTTGGTCGCCGTAGTTCCTCAACGGCAAACATGTGGCACAATCACGACGATTGCAGAAATGGCATCAGAAACGGCAGCATCAAGTTGGCAGTGACAAGCCTGATCTTCATGAAGGACATATACAAGCATCTGCAGCGCTGCAGTAGAAGAGATAGTGCAGTAGCAGCAGCAATGATGAGGCGGAACGGCATGCACCCTAGTCACAGCATGCAAGCACCACAAAAGCTGCGGCATTCACGAGGCTGCCAATCAGGAGGGGCTGGCAAAAATGCCAGCAATGATGGCGGTCTAGTTCCCGTGATGGTGATGATTGTCGCCGTGACAATTATACACCGTGGTCAGAACATAGCACCATTACCATGAGGCTGCTGCAGAATGCTGCTGCAGATTTACATGCATACCGTACATTTTCGTAGATACCGCACATGCCGACATACTTATGTATCTACGATTTATCTACGTACATGCACGCGTGCACGAGAGAATCGGAGAAGGAGGGGCAGATGAAACCGACGCAAACACATACACAAAGGCTTGTATAATATACATATCATATTCATGTATATATGTATATAAATACATATATATATATATATGCACACTATCTATCTATCTGTCTATCTAACCATCCATACATACATAAACACATACCTACCTACGTACGTGCCTACATACATGCATATACACACAGCACACTTATGTATAGGTGTGTATATATATATATATATGTATATATATTTTCATACAAGTACATACACATGTATATATATATATATATATATATATATATATATATATATGATATAAGCCCATAGTTCCATAATGAACATGTTACGTTGTAACACACATGATAATCATTAGTTGTACAGTTGCGAGTGATGCCAGGCGGCGACGTTTGTTTTGTCACGTCTCTCTGTTCAGGTCACAAGCTCGTGAGAAACACCTCTGACTGGGCCGTGATCTCAGCATTGCAGCAGTGAATGGGTTCCATCAAGTCAGGCATAAATGAGGTCGGGGTTTGAGGGTCTTGTGTAGGACATATATACATATATATATATATATGTATATATAGAGTGTCCTGAAACACTCCACGCGCCCATATCCTATCCGCTTCAGGTGGTCGGTATCCTGAACCCCTACGCTAAACTCTCGACCCTGACAGGTAAGCCTTAGAACGTAAGGGTGCGAAGGTTCATCCCCGCCGTGATGAGAGTTGGAGTTGATGGTTTCGGTTTTGGGGCCGAAGATGGAGGGGGTTTGGAGTTTTGGATTTGGGTTTCGTTGCACCCAAAACCGGCCGGCAGGGAGAACCGCATCTAAACTTCCTGACTGTTGAGATGTCTTTTTTTTTCAAGCTTTTCCGCGTCGCACTCGAAACTCAAAGCCCTTTAGCCGGGACATGAAGCCCAATATTCGCCGCTACTGCTTCTAAAACTGCTTTGTTTTTACGACCATTCCTTCTACTATGACTACTGAAGCCGGTAGTCTCATCGGCTCCGATTGTAGTTCAGTTTCTCATAATCCGAACTTGACCTGAAATGCTGTGAGGTGGTCCGGCACACGAACTCCCGCACTGTTGTAGTATGGCTTTGCATTGACCTCTTTATCTCCCTCGTCCGGGCCTTGGGTGCGTTTAGTGCAGGGGGCAAATCGGTTTGGGAATCAGGTAGATGCGTGTTCGTTTAGGGATTGCAGACTTTGCCAACTGCCCAAGTCTGTTCGTGGTCTTCGGCATGTGGGACCTTTGTAGGAGCTTCAGGATCAGCATTGCTCTAGCAGTACCGCTTGACCTAGGTCTTGTGTATTAAGGACTAGCAAGGATTTCGGATTTCGTCTGCTGAGGATACGGATACGTAACTATCATGATCCCTGACAAAGGTAGTGAGTTTATGAATCAGTGGTCTGGTTTATATCATCAGATTGAAGGCGGACTCTGCGCCCCCATCTTGAATCTCTCATCCATGACCCACAATCCCCAGAGCCCTTGTAACCCCAAATACCCCAGAGCCCTCAAGTTCCTAACCACTTGCCCTCCCACAAAGAAGCCTCCATCCTAAACCGCAAAGAGTCTCATCGAGGTCGAGCCTAGCTATGCTTGGGCTACACTTAAAAGACATTGCTTGGTCATCTTCTCTGGAACTGAGGGAACCGCAACTTTCGTGTCATTGAGCCTGCTATCTGCATTTGTCGAAGAGTTTCTAAACATGCTGTTGGATGTGCAGGTTGAGGTCAAGAGCCCTCAAACCCTAGCTGCCTCCCGTCCTGAACACTTAAGTCCTAAACTCCCAGCCCTCAAATTTCAACCCCAGATGGGTGCTGTGGTCTCGAGATTTCCTTGAGCTTCTGGTTTTCGGGCTTTCGGGATGTGGAGCTTTTCGGGTAGCGTTTAGGGTTCAATTTAGGGTCTACGGCCCAGGGCTCAATTAGGGTTTGCGGTTGCGAGGTATCGGGTTTTAGGATCTTACAGTAGGTTATGACTGAAAATTCGTTTCGTGTTCTTATGCGTACATTTCAGCGGACCATCACCCAATCCAACAAAGCATAGAAAAGCGCGTGATGTCCTGTATTGTAGTGTAAGACCGCATCTCCGTGAATCCTCATGGAGCGCCATTGCATTGCATGCATCACCAACCCAGCTTCTGCCAAGTGTTGGGGCACAGTCCAAAATCGAGCCCATGTCAAGAATCGTTAGCCCTGGGATAGGAGCCCGGGGAGACCGAAACACGTAAACCTTCTTTACTTAAAGGGTCATGGGACTTAGTAACTAGGGTTATAATTAGGGTAACTCTACTTACAACTCCAATTAAGGTACTTATAAACTTACTTACTAAGTCCCATGATCCTCCAAGCAGTCGCCCACGGTCACCGGACAAGCCGCCGAGGGCCTTGGCACGTATTACTTCCTCTTTAGATACGTCTCTTCGCTCGGCTGGCCGGGAGGGGGATGGGCACCTCGGGGTTAGGGTTCGTTTTGGGGTTTAGGGTCATGGGTTTAGGTCATGGGGTGGGGCAAAAAAACCCTAAACACTAAACCCTCTATTTTGGTTAAACCTTCGGCTGACTTTGGCTTTTGCTTGGCACAGCTGTACAGAGCTCTGGGGTCACACACCTCATCATCATCATCCCGCAGGGTTTGTTGAGGCTCCCTCTATAAAGAGTCGGATAAGGGCAGAGGATATGATTCTGAACACTTAGAAAAAATTCCATTGTAATCCCAATGGAAGTATGCTACAACCTGAACGAAGAAACTACTTTAATTATCACGATTTATCAAAATCCCATCTAGATCACTGGTTTGTGTCTGGTCTTCTAGAGCTACCAAACCTCTGCGGGCGCCTACAACCCAATGAAGTCTAAGCCCCTCTCGATCCTGAACCTTGAGCTCCGAACCCCAAACCCTAAACCCTAAGCCCGAAACCCTAAACCCCAAAACCTAAACCTTGAGCCCACATGTGTAAACAAAACCTTAAGCCCTAAACCCTAGACCCTAAATCCTAAGTTTTGGAACCCTGAACTTAAATCTTGCAGTTTTCTGGTTCCTGCGGCCTTGATCTGTTGGGTCCGCGGCTTCAGAGGTGATTTAGGGTTTAGGGTTTAGGGCCCTCTTGCTGCATGTTCCGTCGGTGTAGGGTCAAGGTTTCGATTACATTGTTTTTTTGGGTGCGTTTCGGGCTAACATAGGAGGCGAAAGGGGTTTTGGCTGGCTAGAGTTATTGGTTTTGGCTTCATTCGGGTGTAGGGTTTCCGGCAAGCCCTACTGTAGACAGCGCTAAGGGCGTTGTATCTATGTGGTTGATGTAGTGTCATTCAATGCTCGGGTCATTGCAGGGCATGAAATTTCAGATAGGTCCGGTTTAAGGGTTTAGGGTTTAGGGTTTTAGGGTTTAGGGGCTCTTATGAATGCAAACACCCAGAACCCTTTTCCCAAAACCCCACCCGGACTGGAAGCCGGATATGGCTGAAAGCCCTGAACCTCTAGGCCTTCACTCGCAAGTGGTTTCGGGTTGAAGGTTAAGGGTTTAGGGTTTTGGTTTTAGGGTACAAAACTCCCGAAACCTTCGAAATGGAATACGCTACAAAGCGCCAGCCCTGAACACTCTGAGCTGTATTCTTGTAGAGAACGCCCCAACCCGACTGTGAGACGCATGATGATGAAGAAACCCCCCAACCCAAGGCCCTACCGTTTAGGACTTAGGGTTTAGACCCTAAACCCTAAACTCTTAAACCCTGACCAGGGTGCCTTTGCAGATGATGAGCAACTTTAAGTTCTACATCCTCATCGCTGGCATCCGAGTGCTCCGGTGAAATATAGATACTAGGTAGGGCTTTGGGACATTTTATATTTTCCCTTATTGGGCTTAAGAGGATCTTATTTACTAATATTTTTCAAAGGCTCTAAAAGCCCCACCTAGGATAGGATGTTACGGCGAGGGTGTTCCTCAATGAATGATATTCGCAATATACGCCGCCCAAATAATGTTTCGAAAGCGTTGCGAGGCCAGATGAGCACAACAAGGCAGTTCGAACAAATAGGTTTAAGTAACTTGCATGGTTGGGTTCAAGCGAGTAAGGTTTCGGACCTCTATTTAGGCAGTCTCCTCAGTGGTTCTTGGGGAATGCACGGAAATAGCCGAAACAAACCAACACTGATGGCTCGGTGCTTGTATTTTAGCCGAGGCCCCGCCACGTGAGAGCTCCCAACATATTTATTCGGAAACTTTCTGAGTTGCTGCGGAAATTCAACAAATCCAACAAATCCAAACAGTCTTTCCGAACCTGTGTTTTTCGAGAATTGACGATTTGCTGGCCCTAACCCTAAACCGTAAAAACGCAAGAAGCCATACGAAGTGGCTTTTTCATCGGTACTCCCATGCCAAACCTGGGACAAGGGACAACATGCTCAGACTAGGTGCACAACGACGACAGGGAGAATAACTACCGGAAGGAAGTGCCTAAACCCTAAACCCTACATGCAGTACAAGAATTCAAGAAGACCCCACTTAAATCCTCATCGCCATAAAGTCTCCAAGCGCCCGAGGCCGCATGCACACTCTGGGGAGTCTCGGCATTGACGAGTCTGTGGTCCGTTTTAGGGTTTATGGCTTTGGGGCTTTGACAGCAAGACCACCACGACAAAGGCGACCACAATTACCGCCTGTACTGCTGCTACCGCGCCGCTGCTGCTGCTCCTCCTCCGCTCCCTGCCACTATTACTCCTCCTCCTCCTCCTACTGCTACTACTACTACTACTACTCCTCCTGCTACTACTACTACTACTACTACTGCTGCTGCTACAACAACAACAACTAGTACTACAACTACTACGTGCTACCTACTACACCTCTGCTATCAGTGCGACGATGACAACGACTACCACATCTGCTAATGCCCGTCCTTCTTGTGCTCTTGCTCTTTCGATTACTGCTACTCCTACCGCCTCCGCGGAGGCTGCTGCCGTATCTGCTGCTGCAACTTGTTGGCTTCTGCTGCCGCCGGTAGTGGTGGTGATGGTGATGGTGAAGGTTGTGGTGGGTAGTGCTGTTGGCGAGGTTGGTAGTGGTAACCCACAGCACCTGCTCCCGGTTAGGTATCACCTCGGTCCTGCGGCGGAAGGTGAAGCACGTGAAGCTGCGACCTGTAGGGACATGGGGGGGTTTCAGGTTCAGGGCGGCTTGGGGCGTTTAGGGTTTTGGGTTCAAGGTTCAGGGTTCAGGGTTTAGGGTTCAAGGTTCAGGGTTCAGGGTTTAGGGTTCAAGGTTCAGGGTTCAGGGTGTAGGGTTCAGGGTTCCAGAACGAACACCCAGCTTTCCTTTGAAGGGTTTTGGGGCCTTTCGGTGGTTAGGTTTGGCGACTGAAGGGTTCCCGTGGGGTGGCTTCCGTTGCTTGGAAACTTGAGGCCTAAACCCTAAACCCTAAACCCCCATCCTATCCCAAATCCTTGTGAAGGGTTTGGGGTTTTGGGCTAATGGTGCGGTTTTCGGGGGTTCGGGGGCCCGAGGGCAGCGTAAGTGCTATATCGCAAGGAGGGAAGCCTAAAGAGTAGCACGAGCAATGCTTTATCCTCAGCCGCAGACCCCAATAGATCCAAGCAGAAAGCCTTTACAATTTATACACGACTGCAACAGCATCAAACCTCACAGAATGAAGAAATACTCAAGACGGCATGACAAAGACGTACACCACCCCATGCAACCCAGCAAAAACATGTGCAAAACCCGATAAACCCTGAGCAAAGCCCCCATACCCTTGCCAGGTATTACACCGTTTTCCTCCTCAATCTGCTTGTCGCTGTCGGCTCTCCCAGATCCGAAGAGGAGAGGATTAATATGAGGGACCCTGGTACTCACAATAGGCTTGTCTGTACGGCGTTTTGCAAGGGCTTTCTAGGATTCCCATCGAGGTTCCTACTTGAACCCCTCAATAGCCACAGTTTCGGGGTTCCTGATTTTGATTCCTCAAGTCTGGCCTTAAAAAGAGGCTTGCCAAGCAAACGTTTCTGCAAGGATTCCATAAGGGATACTGTAGGCATGGCTTTATGCGGCTTTAGCGCACCCAGAGCCTAAATCGAGAAATGCATTGCTTTCGGCGTAAGGAACCCAAGGGGTTCCATCTGAGTTGTGTGCATCAACGTGGTTGTGATGCAAGCTTATGCTGCGAGAGAGAGAGTGATTCGAAGTTGTGGATCCCACACTGAGGTTAGGGTTTGGGGTTTAGGGTTTAGGGTTTCTTGTTATCGCCAATCGAAATGCTTACTGTACTGCAGTTACGGTTTTGCATGATCCCAAGGCCCTCTTCAAATTGTAGTATGACGAAGTCCCTCAGCCTCAAGCCTTAATCCAATTGCTTTTGATTTTTTGCTTCTTCCTCCGTTCGTGTGAATTCACTGGGGAGGACGAGGACAAAGCACATTGAAAGGAAGTTTCCGGCACAAGGATGACAACGGCTCGGGGACGTTGTAGATCCGAACCGGCCTTCGACCAGGAACCCTACACCCTGAAGTCTCAGCACTTATCCCGTAACGCTGTCAGACCCCAAGACCCCATCCATAAATGAGCAAACCGCACACCTTCACCGTGAGCAAGGCCTATTAACCGTCGGAAACCTTGTATACCTACATGTATATATATATATATATATATATGTGTGTATGCACTTGTATACATATATATATATATATATATATATATGTGTGTGTGTGTTATGTCTACTGTATATATATATATATATATATATTTGTATATACACTAAGTGAATAAATACATAATCTGATATAATTATGCACATACGCCATTGTCATATTCTATAACCCGCTAACGCCCTCAATGTGCCCCTCCTTTTTCGGGACCCAGGTCTGGCTCATGGTGCCGATCCTTCGCATGGATTGCAGCAGCTGTGAAGCAAACAAAAACTACTATCAGTGCGAGGTGCCTTGGAGGCACTATGTTGGGTTTCGAGTTCAACCCTACACCCTAAATCCTAAACCGGGTCTGGGTTTAGTTTACTTTTTAGTCTAGTATGTTTTCGATTCTCACAGGTCTGCATTTGATTTGATCCCGGGCGTCAGGTCACTTCGTCTTAATGCGAAACCTTCCTCAATGTTGCAGCAAGCAGTATTGGTTCATTAATCTAGTGTCACACGGCTAGTTGCCATAGGTCCAGACTTGACCAGCTTAAGAGAATAATAGGATATCATAGGATATCGTCAGAGTGCGGGGACAGTGTGTTATGCTCGTGGATATGTAGCATAGTACAGTAGTACACCTTCATTATTTTCTTTCCTTCCAACAAATGTTGAGAACGTCTCCTGAAAGCTGTAAGACCCCTGCTCTGGAGCACTTCCTTGACAATTCTTGCGTCCCAATGCCCGAGCTCTAAGTTGTAGACCTAAGCCGGCGTCTGGAGTCGTATACCCAACCCGAGCTTCGAGGCTGCTGCTGGAAACCGTTAAAGCCCTAAGCCATCCTGCATTCTAAGCCCCGTGCCCTAAATCGTAAAGCCTATCTCTGAAATCGTAAGGCGGTGAGACAAGCACGATCACAGAGGGAGCATATGATAGCTCAGCGGAAGTCGCGCCCTAAATCCTAAACCCTAAGCCCTCCCTTGCAGGTGTTGAAGCCCTGCAGGATTTTTGTAGCTTGTTGCCATGAGAGCAACAGAAATGTACGCGCACATGTCCACGCAAGTATATGGGAGTTTCCGAAAATAAGGAACCCTAATACAGTACCCTAAATAGTAGGATCCTTGTTGTAAGGACCCCAAAAGAAGGTACCCCTAATTTTCAAAAACTCTCATATGGCAGCAAGGAGTGATGGTACTTAAAGGATCATGGGACTTAGTAACTAGGGTTAAAATCAGAGTAACTCTACTTATAACTTATAACAACTTAGAACCCCAATTCAGGTACTTATAACCTTACTTACTAAGTCCCATGATCCTCCAAGCATTCTTATGCATCACGAAACTAAAATCACGAGCGACGCTCCGACAGTTTCATCAGTAGATGAGAAATGATAACTAACACTGATCTCTGGAGACTTAAGCCAGAAAATATTTAGTTAAACTGGTATAGCCAGGAATGTGCATGTAAAGACGAGCATGAATCGGCAAGTTGTTCTTGAAGGGGCAAGTTCTTCGGAAGTGGGCTTGAAGCAGAGTTTTGCGTACCACGGCCACAATCAAGGCACTCATGACTTATAACCCCACTTAGAGCCTGCCCTAACCTTGAAACGCTGGTGCACTAAAGACTACATCTCTGCAAAGCCCTAAGCCCTAAACCCTAAACCCCAAACCAACCCCAAAGCCACAAAGTCCGGTTTCCAAGCCCTAAGCTTCAAAAGCTAAAAGCGAAGAGTGTTTGGGGTTTAGGGTTTTAGGGTTTAGGGTTTTAGGGTTTAGGGTTTAGGATTTAGGGTTTTAGGGGTTTAGTATTGAATTCCCTTTCCCGATCCGCAAGACTCTGAAGCCGTCGTAGCCCAGGCTCTTCAGTCCTTTGCCCGCGACGGAGTTTCTTTAAACAAGCATGCCGGCCGCAACACTCCACGTAGGGTTTAGAAGGGAGGTCAGCTACTACCATCATCAAACTGTAGTCATAATTTTGGTGCTACTCTTCTTCTTCCTCTTCTTGTAAAAGTAAATGCAGGCATGTTTTTTGTTTGTAAGTCTGTGGCTGTTTCTTCCTTTTTGTTGTTGGGTGGTGTCGGGCCTTGTGGCTTTGTGGTGTTGTTTGGTCATGCGGGGTTTTGAGGTTTGGGCTCTTCAGGCTTTGAGCTTTACACGTTTGGGGTCTAGTCTCGGGAGAAGCAGCGGCGATGAGGTGGCGGTCGGAATAGTGTTTGCAGTCAAAACCCATGGTTGCAATCTAAGGACATATGAGTATCGTAACCCCAATTGGAGTCCTTTTTTGGGGTACTTATAAGTCCGCACATGGCCTAAGTCCTCCGAGCCTCCAAGTACCGTGTTTGCCACGAGGGTACGCGATGACCAGCAGCGGTATAAAGCCAAGGGCCGGAACAAGAAGCAAGAGGAGAAGTAATACGATTGTCTGCGGTTGCGACGGTAGCCAGAGTTATGCGTCTAGCCGTAGTGGGCATCAAAGATCTGGTGGAGCGCGACAAGCAAGAAGAACATGTGTAATTGGAGTAAGAGGATCCGACGTACCAGCGGCAGTCAGAGAAAGGATGAACAAGGGGCCCCGACTCGACGTTGTATGCTACAGCTCAGCTTCATACTACTGCTACTACTACCGCTGCTACTCTGCTACTACTACTGCTAGTTCTACTGCTACTACTCTTGACCATAGTCACCCAAAGTATTGATTTTAAGGGTTTGGAATTTTCAATTGGCAGCGGTTTTGTGGTTTGGGGTTCAAAGGTTTAGGGTTTCGGGCTTCAAGGTACCCATACTCTAGAGCCTCCAACCCTAAACCAAAAACTAAACCGTAGACTTTCGTAAACCCCAAACCCTAAACCCTAAAGAGCCAGAAGCAACCCGAAGCCTTATAGATCCTTTTAAAGGAACCCTTATAGATCCCTTTAAGGAACCCTTATAAATCCCTTTAAAGGAGCTTTTTATAGAGCCCCTTAAAGGAACCCTTATAGATCCCTTTAAGGAGCCCCCTAAACCCTAAACCCTAAAACCCTAAACCCTAAACCCTAAACCCGAACCCTTATGGATCCCCTTAAAGGAACCCTGTATAGATCCCTTTAAAGGAGCCCTTAGCCTAAAGAGCCCGAAGCTCCCCTTTGCTCTGAGGGTCCCTCGGCCCAAGGGCTTCCCCCATCGCGAGGCGGAAGGGCCCAGGGGCTTTTTGAAGGCTTCGGGCTCCTTTAAAGGGGTGACAAAGGGTTCCTTTACAGGGATCTATAAGGGTTCCTTTAAGGGGATCTATAAGGGTTCCTTTAAAGGAATCCATAAGGATTCCTTTAAAGGGGTCCATAAGGATTCCTTTAAAGGGATCTCTGAGGGGTCTATTTTACGGGCTTCGGGGGAATAGACTCAGGGTTTAATGGGTTGGTTCAATGGGTTCAGGGTTCAGGGTTTAGGGTTCAGGGTTGAGGGTTTGGGGTTCAGGCCTAATTCGAGACGGCTTAGGACGTAGGTTTAGGTTTCCTTATCTGCGTTTAAATTCTCGGGTTCAGAGAAGAAGCTTAAGATTTTGGCGTTCGCAAGAGGGTTTGAGGCTTTAAACCCTAAGCCCTAAACTCCCTGAACCCCAAAACCCTAAACTCCCTAAAGCCCTAAGCCCCTAAAGCCCTAAACCCCTAAACCCGAAGGAACTGGCCCTGATTGCTAAGATTCTAGCCTGAACCCCTAAGGCGCTAAGCCTTTTCTCAATGTGCAGGCCTGGTAAAGGGCTCAGGGTTCAGGTTTTGGGGCTGAGATGGTAGGGTTTTAGGGTTTACTTGGAGGATCATGGGACTTAGTAAGTAAGGTTATAAGTACCTTAATTAGGGTTATAAGTAGTTATAAGTAAAGTTACACTAATCATAACCCTAGTTACTAAGTCCCATGATCCTTTAAGTAGGGTTTAGGGACTGAGGGGCTTAGAGGTTGAGGGTTGAGGGTTTACCCTCTGCCAGACGCCCAAGGCCCAAGACCCTAACCCTAAACCCTAAACCCTAAACCCTAAACCCTAAACCCTAAACCCTAAGCCCTAAACCCTAAACCCTAAACCCTAAACCCTAAACCCTAAGCCTAAAGCCCCAACCACAACGCTTGAACCCGAAACCTTAGACCCCCTGTACTGGTGTCCAGAGGCTCCACGAGAAGAGCCTGAAGCCCAAAACTTAGGGGCACTTAGAAATAATTGAAAATTTTTGGTTTTTATAATCCTTAAGAAACAGCTAAAATTACAATTTTTGCTAGGTTTCTAAGTTCAGTATAGAATCGGTTTATTGCGAAAGTAGCCTCACAGGGGCAAGCCGCAGCACGCGAACAACCTGACATCCTAAAGTCTAAACCCATGTTCCCAACTAAGCTTCTACAACCGATGTAAACCCATAAACCCCCGTATAAATCCTCATATCAACTCTACATCAATCCCTCTAAGCCTTGACACACCGGAAAACCTAAAACCCTCTAGATCCCTTATAGGAGCCCCTTAAAGGTACCCTTATAGAAACCCCCTCCCCCTAGTACCACGGAGCCTTGACGGCCAGGTCCCGTACGCGGAGCCTCCAAATCCAAAGAACTCTCAGGATCTCGGTTGAGGGTTTAGGGTTTAGGATCTCGGTTGAGGGTTCTCTAAGGGTTTTCAGGGTTTAGGGTCTAGGGTTTGTCGGGTTTGGGATGTTTAGGGCTTTGGGTCTAGGGTTTTCGGGGTTTATGGTTGGTAGGGTTTAGGGATTTTTTATGCGGGGGCTTTTAAACAGGGGCTTTTTTAAAGGCTTGTATTATTGTGTTAGGGTTGTATTTCGGTCTTTTCCGGCTTTGAAGGCTTCAGGGCATTGGGCGTTGAGGATTACGTCGAGTGAGTTTGAAAGCAGGTTATGGTGGGGAGAGCTGTAGGGTTTAAAGGTCATGAGCTCAGGAGAAAGGGTGCAGGGGTTTGGGGTGTTTGGCTTTTGGGTGTTGCCGGGGCATTCTAGGTGTCCTTGAATGAGTTTGAAGTTTCGCGCTTTTTGTGTGAGTGTACTTCTTCCCTAATCACAAGCTGGAAAGAAGCAGGACATCAAGTTTCGTTTTAGTCGTGTGAGTGTCGGTTATGCTTGGAGGTTCATGGGTAGTTATAAGTGGGGTTATACGTACGATAACTATGGTTATAACCTATATTAGGGGACTTATAACCCCACTTACAACTACCCATGAACCTCCAAGTAAGCCCTATATATACCCTTATAGAATCCCTATAGGTCCCTTTAAAGGGACCCTTGAAGGAACCCATTATAACTAGCCATGAACCTCCCAGTAGTGTTTCTGCGCCCCACACCGCCACCTCTATGGGTTCTCAGGAGGTCGCTGTGACGAAAGCCGCAGAATCTGTCGCCAGGCCATTCCGAGCAGGGTTGTAGGCTGAAGGGTTTCGGGTTAAGGGTTTAGGGTTTAGGGTTTAGGGTTGATGATACATCGGGTTTCGGTTTTGGGGTTTGGGGGTTAATGATGTTGTTGAGCTTGTGGTCAAGGCCCGGACTAGGCCCATATCCGTCCTACTTCCTTCCAGAAGATCGAAGACGCAGACCCACAACCGCTCCACTGACTGCTCCGAAAACAGGACTGGGTTCTTGCCGAGGAACTGAAAGCTTTCTTTCCACCATGCCCAGTTGGATATGGTAGTGTAAATGTAAAACTTTCACAAGAACCATAGAAAAGAGGGCACACCAAGACCACCGGCACCGTAAACCCCTTTGAGGGACCATACGGGTTACAAACGGGTTGCTGTGCTGAGCACTGCTAGGCTTTTTGGGTGCAAGGTTTAGAGTAGGCGCAGGCTTCGGGGCAGGGCTTTGGGTGCAGGGTTTAGGGCTCAGGTTTTGGGTTCAAGGTTTATTGCTCAGTAGTTAGTCAGTCACATGACTGCTTGAAAGACCAACATACCCCGAAATCCCCTGTGAGTCCTTCGAGCGGAGATCCTAAAACAAACCCTTTCTCTAATGCTCGCACGGACCTCTTGGTAGTCGATGAATAGTTTTCAACCCAAACGGTAGAGGATCTTACTACAGGCCTCCCGCCCAAACCCGAAGTTCCGCAGCATCAAAGCGCCTTTCCAGTAACTTCAAGCAGTCCCTTGTGCCTCCAAAATCCTACCCTAAACCCTGAATCCCTTGCCCTCCAGTTCGTCGTCCACGACCGTGCCTTCGACGACTGCGACTGCGACGGCCTCGCCTGCCAGAGAGGACCGGCTGGGAAATGCCCAAATGTTGCAGGGTTTAGGGTTTAGGGTCCCTAGTTTAGGGTTTATGGTTTAGGGTTTAGAGTTTAGGGTTTAGGGTTTGGGGTTCAGAGTTTAGGGTTTGGGGTTTAGGGTTTAGGGTTTGGGGCTTTCCAGTTTGGCGGGCCAACGCTTCAGTAATGGGGACCCCTACCCTAAAAAAGGCTATATAATGGGTATAGAATAGCTATGTTAAGGGTGTATACCTAGGGTTCCTTATTAAGGGTCCCTCCTTTTACCCTTGGAGTTTAGCAGACATCTATCCGACAGTCCCGCCGACCGGTGAGCCAGCAAACTTTTAGCCTGACAGCCTGACATTATGGGTTCCGGTGATGCATGGATGCCCTCAGAGGAACGTTGGCGTGCGCATACTGGTGGGGGAGTCCCTATTTAAAATACTACCTAAAACATCAAAGGCCTCAGTCAAAGAACCCGAGTGACAACAAGGACGGATGACAATTGCAGGGGAGATGTTTTGGGTCGTAAGTACACTTAGGACTAGGTTGTGGCCAGAAGCACAATTGAGCTTCCAGCCCGAACCCTCAAACATGCAGATTTGACAAAGAGCATGTAGCGCCGACTACGACATGTCAGGAATGTGGCTGACATTCATTAGATTCCACTATTCATGGACCCTATCAAACCCCTTCTGCAACTTATCGCAAAGGACATACATCATACATCCTCTCAAACCCTAAACTGAGCCGAAGAGGATCAGCAGGCTGTTGATGATGCCAAGGCCTACGGCACAGCTTTGCCAGTACAGTGAGGGCTGCAATCGTGTAACGCGAGCCCAAACCGCAAGCACTAAGGCTTAATCCCGAAATCCTAATCCCTAAACCCCAATCCCTAAATCCCTTAATCCCGAAAGGCTTGAATCCTAATCCCATTTAAGTCACAACTTTCAAGGGTTTAGGGGTTTATAACTACCAATATTATAGGGTTTAGGGTTCCTGTAAAGGGGTCTATAAGGGCTACTATGAGGGCTCTTATCAGGATTTAGTATAGGGGCACTCCCGAATTTTCGGAACCATGACTCTACAAGCGCAGGGTCGAGGGCCTGACGTAAGGCAGTCTCCTTGCGTGCCCGCAGCTCTACTTGAAAGAATAATGCGACTTAGTAACTAGGGTTACAATTAGGGTAGCTGTACTTGTAACTACTTATAACCCCAATTAAGGTACTTATAACTTATCACCTTACTTACTAAGTCCCATGATCCTCCAAGTACATGAGAGGGCCCACCTAAGCTTCGGTAGGGTTGACGGTTTGGGGAATCGGGTGCAGGGAGCCGGATTGAAGGGTCACGGTCTGCGGATTAGGCGTTGGGCTTACTTAAAGGATCATGGGACTTAGTAACTAGGGTTACAATTGGGAAAACTCTACTTATAACTACTTATAACCCAAATTAAGGTACTTATAACCTTACTTGCTAAGTCCCATGATCCTCCAAGTAGGATTTTGAAGAATTGGGTTGGCCAAAGCCTAAACCCTTAGATCGAGGCCTCAGCCCCAATCCCTAAAACCCCCCACCCTAAACCCTAAACCCCAAGCCCCAAACCCTAAACCCTAAACCCTAAACCCCAAACCCTAAACCCCAAACCCTAAACCCCAAACCCTGAACCCCAAACCCTGAACCCCCTGAACCCCTAAACCCCCCCCAAACCCAAAGTCCTTGGCAGAAGCTTGCGGCCGCGACGCAGCAGCTCGGGAGGACCCCCGAAGGGGGCGCCCTGCTGGGTCTCAACCCGGGGCCGGAGCCTTGTGAAACAGAAGCTGGGTGCTACGTCCTAGGGTTCCTTTAAAGGGATCTATAGGGGTACCTTTAAGGGGCTCTTTCAAGGGATCATAGGGGTTTAGGGTTTAGGGTTTAGGGATATAAGTCCTGCATGACTCTAAGGACCCTAATATGGGAATTATAGTATATTCCTTACTCTGGGTAATGTAGGATTAATATCATCAACCGTATGAGGGCTACGGTGTAGGGTTTAGGTCATAATTAGGGTTTGGGGTTTAGGGTAGGCTCCTTAATTAAGGGTTCCGTAAGGGTTTAGGTTTTGAGGGATGGGGTTTATGGTCTAATAATTAATTACCTATACTATTTTGCGGGTTCCTTATTATAGTTATAGTATAACGGGCCCCAAAACCCTATTCTAACTGTTAAGGCTTTTGGGTTCAGGGCTGTACCCCTGTACCAAAGACCCGAAGCCCGAGACGGACCTAAAGCTGAAATCCCCAGGAGCAAGCCGAGCCTGAATCTGTCACAACCACAGCGGTTCGTACTGTCTTTGGGATTCCTGTCGGTACCCCCCCTACACCCGAAACCCTAAACCCCTAAACCCCTAAACCCTAAACCTAAATACCATGCCTACCATGGCCAGTTGATGGTGTCTGCATATCCTCATAGCAGGTATCACATTCTACGACGAAGACGACGATGACTACTTCGACGACACCGGCGACGACGACACAGATGCCCACGGCGACGACGACGATGACGACTGTCATTAGCACTAACTAAACCGGGTCTTCGCCAGGCTCTGCGGATTCGGCTGTGGCGAGTCAGGGTTGCGTTCCGGGTTCGCGGCATAAATGTTTAGGGCCTAAGGTTTAGGGCTCAGGTTTTCGGGCGAGGATGAAGAACATGGGCTAGCAGGCAGGGATTGCGGTGGGAGTTAGAACCTCACATGAGGGGCTTTAGAAATGTTTTGATATGAGATTCCTGATCATGTAGAGGCCGTTAATTGAGGTGGCCTGGTGGGTATGTGTCCGCGGCGCACCCCCAGACAGCAGCAACAAGCGTCGGATCCTCATTGCAAGGGATCGCAACTGATGTTTAAAGTTTAGGGTAAAACCCTACAAGCATTGCTATCGATAGCTTCAATCTTCGTGGCAGTGTGACCGAGGCTGCTTTCGGCCGAGCCCGGTCAACACGAGGTGGGGAAGTTGTGGCTGTTATCAGCTGGTCGTGTGTCGACCCCTAGTCGCTAGCCAGGGGGGGGAACCCTAAACCCTAAACTCTAAACCCCAATTCGTGACTGACTTGAAACCGAAGTCGGTGCGACATGTGTGCGGCTAGGCGCTGCCAAGTTGTGTGTTTGTGTCGTGGTTGTAATCGTTCTGACGATGATGATCATGCTTGCGGCTATCAGTGCTGCCTTTGCCCTCACGAGGTCTAATACCACTACGAAAACAATGTCAATTGCTCATTATTGTCGCTCTCCTCATCAGCTATGATTATGATTTTTATCTTTAGGTAGTGATTATGACTACTTTTCTGGTTAATGCTGCTGACGTTGTTGTTGTTGTCACTACGTGTAGTATCCTGATGTTATTACTATGACCATCGTCAGAGCAAGTGCTAAGATCACTATTCGTGCACCGTTTGTAAATAGCATTTTCATTTCGCGGTTCGAGTTTCGAGGCATGGCGGGGTTAGGGCCGCTGGAATCCAAAGGGCGCCACAACTCCCCCCACCGAAAGCCTTGCACCGAAGCCTGCGACAACCACCTTCAAGGCCCTCTTTGCAGCCAGCTGCCCAGAGCCTCCAAAACCCCTTAATTGAAGAATATACCTTAAATTATAATAGGATCCCTTATATGATTTAAGGTATATTCCTTAATTAAGGGGTTTTGGAGGCTCTGGGTGGCGTCAGGTCCTTAGGCGTAGCTACATTGAAATTCTCGGCTCTAAGCCTCAAGCCCTACACAATCCCAAGACTGACTCCGAAGCCATCCTTCATCCCTACCGGGACGCCCCATTTTGAAACACCCCAATATCCTCCACCCGAGACCCTGTAAACTCCCTCGTTCCCAAATGGTGCCCTTTGCAAACTCTAAGCTTTAAACCTACGCCTCAAGGGCCCTGTTACCCTGAACCCTAAACCCTGAACCCTAAACCCTAAACCCTAAACCCTGAACCCTAAACCCTAAACCCTAAACCCTAAACCCTAAACCCTGAACCCTGAACCCTAAACCCTAAACTGCCGAGAGCGCCGCTGACCATTTGCATGGGCGCTCGAGGCTCCGACCGAGGCCCCCGGCCGAGCGTCCCGACAAGACGGTGAGGGAGGGTAAAGCCTCCCGGTATACGGGGACGGAAATGACTCGGCTACGCCTCACACAATACGGACCCCCCTCCAAAAAGCCCCCCCAGGCGGGGCAGGACCTCCACCGTTCAAGGAAAATTGCAATTTTGGCCTTCCAGACTTTTTTTGGATGCCCTGCCCCCCCCCGCCCTGCCCTGCCCTGCCCTGCCCTGCCCTTCTGCCCTGCCCTGCCCTGCCCTGCCCTGCCCTGCCTGCCCTGCCTGCCCTGCCCTCTGCCTGCCCTGCCCTGCCCTGCCCTGCCTGCCCTACCCTGCCACCTGCCCTGCCCGCCTTGCCTGCCCTGCCCCTGCCCTGCCCTGCCTCCTACCTCCACTGCCTGTCCTTCCTGCCTGCCGTCGCCTGGTTCCTGACCTACTCCTTGCCCTGCCCCACCTTGTTCACACTTCGAGCACCCCTTACAGGGTGCGAGATGCAAGCTGTTTGTTGGAAACCCTTGCTTTACTTCGAGCGGCCGGCACAGGCCGCGAGGACCCACAACCCGACAGAAACCATTTCTGTTGTGATTTCTGAAGAAATATTGGTGTTTACATGTCAAGCTGCGAAAGGAAGCAGAGAGCAAGAAAGCCCCCCTTGACGGGGGTTTGGGGGGTGAACCCTAAACCCTAATCGAGAATAGTTGGGGTGGTTGGGGCGGGACTACATGCTGACGCAAGCGCGCGATTAGTGGGTGCGCCCCCTATTCCTAAAGTAAAAGGCGCACCATCCGCGCGCATACTGTTACACACCCTAAACCCTAAACCCCAAACCCTGAACCCTGAACCCGAAACCCTAAACCCTAATTAAACCCTAAACCCTAAACCCTGAACCCTAAACCCTAACCCTAAACCCCAAGCCCTCAAGCCGCCAATTTGGTGAGGCCGAGATGCTCGACGACCTCCTGAGCCTTCCACCCAGAGCGGGGGGTACTTAAAGGATCATTGGACTTAATAACTGGGTTCTTTAAAGGGATCTATAGGGCTCCTGGGGTTTAGGGTTTAGGGTCTACTTCAAGGATCATGGGACTTAGCAATTAGGGTTATAATTAGGGTAACTCTACTTATAACTACTTATAACCCCAATTAAGCTACTTATAACCTTACTTACTAAGTCCCATGATCCTCCAAGTAGGTTTCGTAGCACATGGTACATAGGGGCCGCAATAAGTACCTATACGCCTATACGGTTTTGGGGTTTCCTTATTATCATTGTAGTATACTATACGCCAAAACCCTACTCTAACTAAATCTTGCCCTCTACCGTAGCATTGCTTTTCGAGGGGGGCGTGTATGAAGGATGCCATCATCGTTCTACAGCGCGCGTGGGGCGTGTTTATCCGCGTGTTTGCAAGAGGCCGAAGACGAGGCTGCAGGCCCAGGATTGGTGGAGTTGGGGAAAAACCAAGCCCGAACCCAGTCAGCCCGAACTTAGCAAGAAAGACTTTGGAGCTGTGCAATTGAGCAAACAAGCCTTGGAGTTTCGCGGGCCTTTCATCTAGATTCACATGACCCGTGAACTCAAAAACTTTTCACGCCCGCGGTCGTCCAACTTCTATAGAGCCTCGAAGCCAAGCTGAATACTGATGATGCTGCAGATAGGGTCGAGTGGGAGCAAAGGATGAAAATGCAGTGATGAGGATAGATAGGGTTCAGGGCTGGGGGAGGAACAGTCAAAGTACTGTGGTATCAGTCAGAATTCCCAGGAACATGCACTGATAATGATGTTGGTTGTAGTGGCAAGCTGATGCCGCGAACGATGATGAACATCCGAACCGTCATGGTCACCGTCATCACCGTCAGTATCGCCATCATCACCGTAATGGAGGTAGCAGTGATGACAGAAACAGCGACAACAACGACAACCTGATACCAGCCGTAGTCATCCTTATCCCTGTGTGAGTGATGAACAATACAAACTGCAAAACCCTAAACCCGACACTTTAAACGATAACCCTAAACCAAAACCCTAAACCAAAACCCTCAACCCTCAACCCAAACGGCAAACCCCTAAACCCGAAACCCTTCACTCCAATCCCAGACTTCGAGGCAGTGGCCGCCCTCGGCTGGTAGAGAAGAAGAGGAGGCGTTGGAAGGCGGGACCAGTGGGTTGTCAAGCGGAGAGTTTGGAGTTTTCGGGTTTGCAGTGGTATAGTACAGGGTCTTCAAGACCTCAAGAATTAAAAAGTGCTGAGGTTGAATATAGTATATCAGTTTTCAGACTATCCCTAACGATTCCGACCCTGATACCAGCATGGCGGGTGGGGTTGAGTTTTGGGATGTAGGGTGCAGGTTTCCAGCCCTCGGGTTTGAGGGTTGGGTTCAGGGTGCAGGGTTTAGGGTTTTAGGGTTTCAGGGTTTTAAGGTTTAGGGTTTAGGGTTTAGGGGTTGGGAGCTGGTTTAGGTCACTGCGACTGGAGCCCATCCGGAAAACCCAGACCCCTAAACCCCGAAATCAGTAGACCCTAAGCTCTAACCAACCCTGGAAAAAAAGCCTTAACCTCCAAAACTTAAAGCCGTAAATTCTGAACTTGCAACCTCCCAAAACCCAAAGAGCGGAGGATGCCTGGAGCATTAAATTGCCCCTTCTCACCCCTCCCGGTACCTCTATGCGAGCTGGTTTAGGGGGCAAGGGTTAGCGTGTAAGGTGTAGGGGGGTTGGTATTGTAAGGTGTGATTTCGCCTCTCCGTGCTAAGATCTTTAATGTCTGGGTTCGACTAATCAAGACTACCCCGCCTAAAGCTTCTATTATATCTTGTAACTGCACTGCAAGATACCCGAATATCCTGCTCTTGTTGTTAAGGCGTATTCATGAAACGCGATTCAAGGCTATGGGTTCGGAGCACCTTGTCGGAAGCGGCACCAAAGCTTAGGTCATATTCCTTGCTTGAGATGTCTTGCGATGCTTCAGCTGCCATGATGTGTTTTGACGAATATTCCTTGATGGCGGCATACTGCAGATCTGAATAATTACAAGTGCTATCCCGTGGGTGTTTTTCATCATAAGTTGTTCACAAAATTCCTCTGCAGAACCCCGGTTTCACTACAAAGGCTCCTACGCTATCACCCTCGATCACCAGCCGGTTCCGCCCCAAAACTCAAACCGTTGCAGCTTTCACCTACAATCTCTACAATCTCAAGCTTTCGTAGACAGCCGCCCTCAAATCTCGTTTGTGTTTCAAATACATCCAGTCGAAGACCTCATGTAGGGGTCGTGATTTTTAGATTTACAGTATAATACGCCCCAAACCTGATGCTACTCATTAAGGATGAAGGCTTAAAGCCTAAACCTTTTTCCTATCAAAGGCCCCAGTACCCTATGTTAGTCATGAAGGCCTTAAGCCTATGTCGCAATACCTTATGTTACTCATTAACAAAATTAAAGGCTTAAAGCCCAAACCCCAAACTCCAAACCCTAAACCCTGACCCTCAAAGGAACCCCAGTATAGAGCCCTACTATAGAATCCTTAAAGGCACCCATAAAGGAATCCACTTGGGTGGTTGTCAAAATTAGGGTCCCTTTTAGGTCCTTTTATAATACGGCACCTAATACTTAGGGTGCCCAAAATTGGGCCATAATTTTGACAACTACCCAAATCTCCCTAAACCATAAACCCTTTATAGAACCCTTATGGATCCCCTTAAGGAACCCTTTAAAGGAACCCTAGGGGCCCTTCTTTCGACTATCAAGTCCTCTAAATTGGGCCCTGTGAAGGCTCCGAGCTTTCTCCAGCTGGAGGACCCACCACAGGGTGACCTGGCGAGTTTGGGGCTTCAGGGTTTCGGGTTTAAGGGGTTTAGGGGTTTAGGGTTTAGGGTTTAGAGTGAGAGTTTAGAGTTTAGGGTTTAGTAGGGCTTGAGGGTTAGGGTTTAGTTCAGGGCTTGAGGGTTGGGGGTTTAGGCTTTAGGTCTTGGGGTTCGGTGTGAGAGGGACAGTTTGGTTTGGGGTAGGGGTTTGGGTTTGGGCTTCTGAATTTGGGTCAAGGGGTTTAGGGTTTTCGTCCACTACCGCGGCTCGGTGAGGCTAGTGATCTGAAGCCGAGCCCTAAACTCTAAACCCCAAACCCCGATAGTCCCCTGAGTCCCAAAACTCGTCACCCAAAACGCGGATCTGCCCCTTAAGCCCGGTTCGGAGTCGCCCTTAAGCCCGGTTCAGAGTTGCTGGGCCTTAGGTTTGAAGTCTTAGTCGTTGAAGGTTCAGGGTTTAGGTTTGACAGCCCTCAGAAATCTGAAATCCTAAACACCCGAAGTCCTAATCACAGAACCCTCCGATAAATCCCGTAGAATTAGATAGATTCCTTTGCAGGAACCCTTAAAGGAACCCTGTTCTTAGTATGAAGGCCCCTATATTATGCCCATTGCTCTGAGACGTGTCGCTTCTGAGGCGCTACAGGCGTGCTGCCTGCAAACGGGCAGTATCTGCAGAGCCCTGCTTCTTGGCGAAATATATGCGGTTTATGGGCCCTAAATTCCCAGACCCCCAAGATCTACATCCTCATCCCTAAACCCTAAGCCTTTAACCTTAAGAGCTTAGGCTTTTAGGTGCAGGGGGAAGTCAGGAACCAGGGTGTCTGTTTGAGGGTCCAGGCAACATGGAGATGTCCGGGGCTTTGATGGGAGCAGTCCTTCAAAAATGGAGCAAGAGAGGGGCTGCGACGTCGTTCCTGCCATGTCTCCGGAGCTTCTTCGTCTTTTGTTGGGTGATGGTTATGGTATTCATGAGCATGTCAGCAATAGTGTTTTGAGTCTCACCAGTCCTACGCTGTATCGTTTGTTCTTACTATCATTGGTATGACGGTCGTATGATGGTCTTATGATGATGTGACTGTTATGGCTAACAGTAGAAGCAACGTTCTTATTCTCAGTCTTATTCCTATTCCTGGTCATGATGATTGATACGGTCAGTCATTGTTGCTAGATGGGAGTTTCCGAGAATAGGGGACCCTCATATCGTACCCTAAATAGTAGGATCCTTATTATAAGGACCCCAAACTAGATTATCACTCATTTTCTGAAACTTTAAACCCTTATAGAGCCCGTTAAAGGAACCCTTATAGTACCCTTATAGTAACCCTTTAAAGGAACCCTCAGGAACCCCGAATTTTCCGAAACTCCCAGATGTGCGTTGGCCTGCAGCTCAGGCTGCCGCCGGTCAGCTTCCACAGCAGCCGCTGTTGCAGCAACCGCAGGTGATGCCGTTTCTGCAGCCGCAGTGGGCGAACCCGCAGCAGCTGGGCTTTGGAGTACCGTACTTTTAACACTTTTTTGGGACCTGTTTCTTGAAGGGAGCCAAGTATCATACAAAAAGTCTAGACTTTTTCTTCTGGGTTTCTTCAAAGCCCAGGCAGGGCGTGATTTCGCCGAACCAGCAGGGCCCGAATTCGCCGATCCCGCAGTACCTGGTTTCCCCGACCGCGCAAGTCACCCCAACACAGCCTCAGCCGATGGTTCAAGTCCCTCAGGCGCAACCTATGCAACTTGGCATGGAGCTAAACCGACGAGTCTGACTGTGTACGGGAATCGTTGAAGTTGGGACAGTGCTGTCCTGCTGCTTTGGTATGCTGGTACTGTCATGTTGTTTTGGGTTACTGTTGTTCTCCATGCTGTTGTCTTTATTTTATGTTACGGTACTGTTGCTGCTGCTGCTGCTGCTACTGCTGCTGCTGGTGTTGCTGCGGCTACTTCTGGTGTTGCTGTTGTTGCCATTGTTGCTCCGGCTGCTGATGCTGCTGCTGGTGTCGTTGTCGTTGTCGTCGTCATGGTTGTAAGTGTTGTTGCCGTTGCTGTTGCTTTTGCTGTTGCTGCTGGTATTGCTGTCGTCGTCGTGCTTGTTGCAATTTCTCAGCCCTACGTCAAGCAGTAGTAGTCACCGTACCAGTACTACCAGCAGCAACAGTTGCAGCGGCAGTGGCAGTAGCAGCGGTAGCAGTAGAAGTAGTAGCAGTAGTAGAAGCTTCATCGTTAGTTTCATTAATGCTATTACTACTATTGTTACTACTACTCACATTGTTATTTCGGTTCTTGTTATCATTACCATCATTGTTAATACTGCTACTACTTCTGCTACTATTACTACTCCTACTCCTACTCCTACTCCTGCCCCTACCCCTACTCTTACCCCTACTCGTACTCCTACTCCTACTCCTACTCCTACTCCTACTCCTACTACTCCTACTCCTACTCCTACCCCTACTCCTACTCCTACTCCTCCTCCTACAACAACAACAACAACTACTACTACAACTACTACTTCTACTACTATTTGCTACTGCTACTACTAATGCTTTTGCTACTTACTATCAGGATCGTCATGTTTATTGTTGCTCATCGTCTATGAGTCTTTTCAAGCATCGAGTCCTGAAGCACTGGAGCCGGCTCCAAGGCAAGGACAGCCGATCTCCCCGTACGCAGCGGCTCCTGCAAATCAGGCTGTGCTTTAGCGTTTTTTGCGCTTTGATGTGGGTTAGTAAATGAAGAAGCTTGCGGTCGTAGGGGTTTGCAGGATCAGTTAGAAGGGGCCCCCTCCCTGTAATAGTGGATAATAGGAATATAATAGGGCCCTAATATTATACTTATAGTCACTATTACAGGGTGGGGGCAGCTTCTAAAGGATCAGGGTGTAGGGTTAAGGGGTTTCGGTTCGAGCAAATCCGGCCTTCCTTGAAGGATCCGTGAAGGGCCTGGCCCGACTCTTTGAAAACCCTGGTTGTAGCCTACTGAAAGGAGTTATAATTAGGGTAACTCTACTTATAACTCCAATCGAGGTACTTATAACCTTACTTGCTTAGTCCCATGATCCTCCAAGTAGTACTCGACCCTGAACTCTGAACCCACGCAGGTTTTTGCAAAATCCGGCCCTCTTGAAGCTAGTTTCTTAGCTCGGGCCACTGTGCTGGTCCACAGAAGACGTCTTCGCTGTGTCTGTGCAGTTTCACTCAGAGAGCCCAGTACCCCTTAATTAAGCAATGTAGCTTAAAGCATACTATGAAGCCCTATACAATGTAAGCCATATTCCTTAGTTAAGGGGTATTGGGCTCTCTGGGCAGGGCCCCACAACATTTCCTTCTGCGTGTATGTCATCTCAGGCCATACTGCCAAGCCCAAGCTTGAGGACCCTGAACTGAAACACAAAGCTCCGAATGCCCGAAAACGAACACTGTAGGGGTTTCAATACTTACCTATACTATTTTGGCTGTTCCTTATCATACAGTAGAATATACTTGTTATTAAGGCCCCTATACTACGAGTACTTGTTTAACCACACGAGACCCGTCGCTCTTTGTGGTCCCACCGTGCACGATTCACCATACAGCAGGCCCATCCAGTTTGAAGTCCTCTGTGCTGCGAGGCCGCTATGGTGGCACAAGCGACGCCGGTCGCTGCCACAACGGCCACCACGACTACAGCCGTGACAGGCCTGTCCGGTTGTTCTTGTGCGTTCATTCCGTATTACGTGTCCTGCAATGGTTTCGTACATAATCAGGACCGCCAGGGGCAGCAGGTGTTGTTCGCAACAGTGTGAATACAGGGCTCAAAACAAGATGCATTGTGCTACGATAATGAGGCTTGTGTCGATCTCTTGTGCTAACTTTTGTGCTAACTCCAGTCAAATCTCAACATCGAAACAACATAGGACGAGCATAGGAATTACGAGTTTTCATAGGAAATGGAGAGGACACACTTAGGAGGAAATGGGAGGAAGATGGGAGAGCAAAAGTGGAAACATAAAGCAGCCATCGGAGAAAAAATAGGAGACACATAGTAGAACAACAGGACTACTTGGGAAAACAAGTGGGGACCATGAAAGCCATTCAACAACCTGGGAAGCACAACTACAACTACATGCAAACTATTGACAATCAATCAACTGTTCCCTATGCTGTCTGTCGATTCCTAGAAACACAGTGAAATGCGAATGTAGGAGAACAATAGGAGAAGTGGAGGAGAACCAACGGAGAAACATAGGTGACAACTCGGGGAAAACATCGGCGGATGTCAGACGGAAGCACCCAGAATGACCTACGAACACCACTAGAAACCTAGGAACAAAAATAACACCTTGCCAGACAATCAAACAAGATGCATGGCTTTCATTTCAGACTTTCTCTTGTTGCTTGCTGCCTCTTGGTATTCTCAACCTATTTCATTTCCAACTTTTCAATTTTACCCAGTGTTTTTTCCTGCAGATCTCGAGTTCTCATCTTGCTTCTTTTGCACCAATGCTTGGAGTGTGAGGTTTCTCTAGGAAAAGTGTTATGAAGATCGACGATCCAACAAGGCAACCAAAAGCAAGAAACACGGGGTGCCCCATAGGAGCAACTTCGAGTATCAGACAGGTATTTCGAGGCAGAGGTAGCTTTCCGCACAAGATACGGCATGATTTATCTCTGCAAGCATCCTAGGTACATTCATGACAGCTGGAAAAACGCCTGTACTCAGCACTCATAGCCAGGCTGTATTTCCTTCTTCTCTAAGCCTGCTGTCATTGGCGTTTGAAAACTTCATGGCTTAATGCCAGCAGAGTTCTTCTAGCTACCGCGAATCCGGACGAATAACAGCAAGACGAAGCTGAAGGGTAGTGTGGCTGTTGCATTAGCACCTTGGCTAGTGACTAGCAGCTGCTAATATCGCCACAAGCACGGTCGCAGCACCAGTGGTGGTGTTTGTGATGGTACCTGGAACAGTATGCTCTAAACTCTAAATCCTGACTCCTTAACCCTAAACCGTAAACCCCGAGCCCCACACAGCCGCTACAAAAGGGGCCTTAACCACCTATACTTTTTTGGGGGCCCCTGCATCATGTGAGCCCAGACCCCCGGGAGGATCTAGAAAGTAGATCCCCTAATTTGGGGCCCTATACTACTACGGGTACTTTATAGGAACCTCCATTGAGGGATCTACTTTTTGGATCTTCCCGGGGTCTGGGTGTTGATGATATATACCCTGCATTACCCAGAATAAGGAACATACCATAATGCCCCTAGCTTAGGGTCCTTAAGATACCCCCGGTGCAGGCCCTAAACCCTAAATCCTAAACCTTAACCCTAAACCCTAAACCCTTTCCCCCCTACCTTGGCAGGAACGACGACGAAGCCTCTTGATCGTCAGGCCTGAGTTCTGAGAGCCCTTCGCAGCCCGATGCCTTGCACTCCTTCTCTAGGACTTCGGGGAGGTACCTTAGGGGCTTTGGTAATTAGGATAAGGTTCCTTTTAATGGGGTCCTTAAAGGGTTCTATAAGGGTTCTATCAGGTATTGAGGGATAGCACTGCTCGACCCGGCGAACGAGACCCGTTGTAGACCCCTTTAGGTGGCGCCCACCTACCCAGAGAACGCTTCCGGGTTTGGGATTAAAGGTCCGGGTTTAAGCTTGCTTCCTCTGTCCTTCGTAAAACGTGTCGCCTTAGACCCTATCTTAAAGCTCAGCGATTTAGGAGCACTCCAGATCCGGGCAGCCCGAGGCTAACTGTCCAGGTCATGATGTAGTCTTTTTACATTCAGCAAGTGTCCATGAAAATACATACAATTCCGCGTCTAGAGCTTCTTTATGGGCTTCGATTCGGCACGCTCTCCCAAAGCCTGTAGCCTTAAATCCCAAACCCTACCCCAGAAGCCAAGCTGTGTGTGCAAGCGCACTGGACACAGTGGAGCCTCAAAGGTAAAATCAGAACAGCCGCCCTAAATCCCTGAACTCTAAACCCTAAACCCTAAACCCTAAACCCTAAACCCTAAACCCTATCCCCGCACCCCTTGAACCTTGAACCCCCGATCTCCCGAGGCGCGCAACATAAAACAGTCACTAGGATGCCCAGTAGTACTCTTCTTCCCTTTTTGTAGTCCTAGGTTCCTTTTGAAGTTACCCAATACCAAAAAGAGAGGCCTTTTTATTCTTAGGTTACTGGGTATCCTAGGTCATGATGAACCCTGAACCTCGGACGACGAACCCACAGGTCTCGGAAGGAGACGCGGCCGAGACGAAGCTCGTTTGATGACCTGTATTTCGGGGTGTATCTTGGGGTGGGGTGGGGGGGGGTTAGAGGTTCTTCGTCTAATGAGGGCTTAGGGTTCATGGTCTATGGTCCGGGGTTCAAGTTTTGGATCTTCAGATTTCGGATTGCGGGATGCCAAAGGAAACCCAGAGCTGAACACAGAAGGCCTCTCCAAACTTCCGCAAAGCCCCTGCAGCCCTGAATCCGAGAGCGCCTCCTGCTGCCCTGTGACGCCTTTCTGCTTCCCTACTTGGAGGATCATGGGACTTAGTAAGTAAGGTTATAAGTACCTAAATCGGAGCTATAAGTAGTTCAATGGAGTTACCCTAATATACCCTAGTTACAACCCTAGTTGCTAAGTCCCATGACCCTTTAAGTAAGCTCCGCCACAGCCCGGGATTCACGCCCAAAGCCACCCAAAGCCCTTGAACTCACACCCTGAGAGCCCAATGCCCCTTTAGTTCGGACTCTTCACTGATTAGGTTCCACATGAAGGACCCTTGACTTCCAAACTTGGTGAGGTTTAGACTCTGTGGCAATGTAGACCCGAAGCCTAAAGCGGCCTAAAACCCTAACCTCACGAAATCCAACTTTTTTCATTCAGAGCCGTATGGATCGCAGATGATGGGGGTCTTAAAGTGGGACTCCCACAACAGGGACTCCTACGTTTCAGAAATCAGAAACACGATCACCCCAAGCCCTAAATCCAAACTCCCAGACCCTAAACGCTATGCCGGAGCAGTGTACCAACTGAAAGGATCGCGGAATCGACCTCAGTGCAAGAAGCTGTAGCCACTTGGACTGACTTCAGGGTTTAGGAGTTATTGGTTGTTTTGTTCAACAGGTTTTGTTACGGGTAGCTTCAAGGATCCTTCACTCAGAGAGTAGAGTCTACATAGGGCCAGTAAAGTTAGAAATGTGTCAAGGCCTAAAAATAGGCGTATGCTAGTTCTAGCCCTACTGAACTGGGCTTTGAAGTACCATACTTTAATACTTTTTTGGGACCTTGTACTCAAAGGGAACCAATTATGAATGAAAGTCTGTGCTTTTTTGCCCTGGTTACTTCAAAGTCCAGTCAAAGTCTACGGCCTTGATCCTGAGAGCTGCCATGCTACGGAGTCTCCTCAGTATCTGACTGGTACCTTAATATGTAGACCTACAGATACACGGGTTTAGGGGTTTAGGGTTTTAGGGTTTTAGGGTTTTAGGGGTTTAGGGTTTTGGGGATGAGGGCAGAGAGACAGGGACTCGCGCCGGACCCACTTGCATGCCTGCCGCTCGCCTGCAAGCGCGCATACAGGCAATGCATGTGCGCGCACACACACACACAGAGATACGGTTGATGATATAAATCCTGCATTACCTTAAGGACCCTAAACTATGGGAACTATGGCATATTCCTTATTATGGGTAATGCATGATTTGTATCATCAAGCGTGCTGATCCTTGTTGGCATTGTTTCGATAAAGTGGCCAAAGCTGCCGAGATGGTGGACAATATCACGCTATCAACAGCATAGCGAAGAGCGCTACATAGGATTTTGCGAGCCAGAAAGCACTCGCAGAGTCCACTGACTATGCCATGTACTTCCCATAGCTGTACGGAAGCCCCAGAACACCAAAGCTCAATCCTCACTGCGAAACCATAAAGCCGAAAATTTAATCAGTGGGGCAAGCATGCATTCTGAGGATCTCACGAAAAAGCTCTACCACAAAAGGCGGGTCTCAAAGTGTGTTTGGGGGTCTGCCACAAGTTGATTCATTTCACCGGGGCTTTTGGGTTTGGAATTTTGAAGTTGAGGGTCGCGGGATGAAAGCATGCCCTAGTCGCCCTCGTCTCAAACACCCAGCCAGAACAAACCCTGGAACATCATGTTGTATGGGTGCGGAAACCCCACCCCTTGTCCCTCTTACCCGCAATAGAAGCGCTTATCATACAAGCGTCAGAGTGGTTAGTGATACAATCTTCTAGGGCTCCTGATTGCAATTGTACCGCATTGTCTCCCCAAGCCCCTGTTCTAGCTACAGCCTTTGTTATTTGGGCAATCTAGGGAATAGTAAGACAGCTTTCCAAAGACTTGCTTTGTAGTAGCCGGATTGGACAATCACCTGTTGCAGTTCTTGCAAGATTCGCCCCGTGGAAATCAAGCTCTATACCCATTACACTAAGTTTGTCTAAACTAAACCCCGAACTCCATACACTCTGAAACTTGACCCTTCAAGAAGCCTGCAGTCCTAAATCCTGAACCTGTACCTGTTAACTGCCCACAACCTCAGCTCCTAAATCCCGCACACCGCGAAGCCCGTACGCGAGGTGCCGGTGCGATAAAGAGAGCTGCAGGTCTTACACCGACCACGATGGGTATGCTACGTGGCTGTTACTGTTTACGGATTTGGGGGTTTAGGGGGGTTTTTGGGGTTATTTGAGGGTTTCGGGCCGTAAACCCTAATCCCTAAACCCTAAACTTTGGGGTTTAGGGTTTTATGGATTCAGGGTTTAGATTTGGGAATTGTAGTTGCGAAGCAGTGGGCTTTGGATCGTTCTGCAGGTGTTCCGGCCGTTTTTTACGAAAAAAGGGGGGTTCCTTTCTAGAAGGGCCAAAAGTTTCCGAAAGTTAGGAGTACCCTCTTTTGGGGTCCTTATAAACTACTATTTGGGGTACTATATTAGGGTCCTCTATTTTCCGAAATGCCTTCTGCAAGTTCATCTTGCTTGAATTGTATGTGTCTGCTTTGTGATCATGGTCATGGGGACCCCAAAATCCCAAAGCCACAAAACCCAAAACCGAAACCCCAAGACCCGCAACCCTAAACCCTAGACAGAAATCTACACAGGCAGACGGAAAAAAGGCGTTCAAATAAAGAAAGCTGAAACCCCAAACCCCAAAACCCCAAAACCCTAAACCGAAGCCCCACAACCTCAAACCCTAAGCCCGAAGCTTCTTAGCAAGTCCACGCGGCCAAGAACCTGAAGCTCTAAACCCCTGGTTTAGGGTTCAGGGTTCAGGGTTTAGGTTTTAGGGGACCCTTAGATTGTAAATCCCTAAACCCTAAAACCCTAAACCCCAACCCCCAGTCCCTGGATCGGAAACCACCAAACCCTAGTTCTTAAACCCGGCAACTCAAACCCAAAGGGGACAAGGAGGGACCCTTCATGGGGACCCCTACCCTATAATGGGCTATATAATGGGTATGTAATAGCTATATTAAGGGTATATACCTAGGGGTCCTTATTAAGGGTCCCTCCTTGTACCCTTGGACAAACCCTCATCCTTGTGCTCACAGGAGAAGGGCTGGTGTTTCCTCGACGAAGAGTCCGTCGATCGCTGTCATGCCGAGCGGAAACAAGCCGGGGGGCCCAGGACACTATATAAGCCTGAGTAGTTACCAATACTGTTTGTCACGGTTCCTGTTTCAAATTAAACTTTGAATATATTCCAGAACCCATTCCTGTTGTTGATCCCTTAAGATCGTAATGTTGATGATGCCAACAGTGGTGCTCATAAAGCCACTCTCACACAGACGCCGGAAGCCCCAAACCACCGAGGGTGTGAATGACAGTGGTACTGGCGATGGGCCTGAGACTGACAGCGATGTCGCATAGCATAGTTTGCTTTTCCTTGGCAAGCATATGGGAAGGGTGCCGACGGGGTTCAAGGGTTTAGGCATGCAGAGTTTCTGGATAGAAGAAGTTTGGTGGACATGACATGGCCCGTTCTGCTCCAATACAACCTTTATATACATATATTTATGTATACATAAACAGATTTTTTGTTATCGTCATTATTGTCGTTATTATGAACACCCATCTTTACATCCTGGCACCTTGGCCTTGCGGCAGGTGTTCAAGGACCTGGACACGGGGAAGCTTGGCTTGGATGGAGAGACTGGGAGAAAATGGGTGGTCTTTTTCGTGAGATGCACCGTAGTAGCAATGATTGTAGAAACCCTGGACCCTACCCGTTGGGGCCTCAGCGGGGTTTCTGGGTTTGTGGTGCGGGGGGGGGGGGTGTTATTTTGCTGTGGTAACAACGAGGCCCCGACAACAGGCTCTTCCTGGTAAGGAATTTCTTCTGTACTTGCGTTCGGAAAAGGGCCCATCAACAAAAACAATTCTGGGAGAAGTGGAAACCAGCATACCTAACCCCTAAACCCCTAAACCCTAAAGCCTAAATCCTAAAGCCAAACCCTAAACCCTAAACCCTGTAGCACGCCCTTAAAAACAACCCTGTAGCAACGAGGGTCGAAGTCGTGTTCAGAATCCCGGGCCTGCATACCTCAAGCCCAGAATCCGACAGAACTCCAGAGAGAGGTTTGCGGGTTTAGGGTTTAGGGTTTATTTAGCGTTTAGGGTCTAGGGTTTAGGGTTTATATAGGGTTTAGGGTTTAGGGTTTATTTAGGGTTTAGGGTCTAGGGTTTAGGGTTTATTTAGGGTTTAGGGTTTAGGGGTGTGTCCTAGCAGGGTCTACTGAAAGGATCATGGGACTTAGTATCTAGGGTTTTATAATTAGGGTAACTCTACCTATAACTACTTATTTAACTCCCATTAAGCTACTTATCACTTTACTAAGTCCCATGATCCTTCAAGTAACCCTCTAAACCTAGACACCTAAAGCCTGTCAACCTCAGATCCTAAGCCCTAAAATCCCCAAACTTTACACCTGTACACCTTGCATGGTCCAAACTCCAAAGAGGCATTGTAGGGATCGGAAAACTTGGTAGTGCCATTTTTGGGTTCCCTTGCCAGCGTCATAAGCACAAGAACCCTACTCTAATGATTAAGGCCCCTGTACTGAACGGTTTCTGAGTGGACCAGGCGGCTGTGGTCTCGGGACATCTGTCACACGGTGGCTTTGATGCAAGGATGGTTCAGAGCGTTTCTCTAGAGAGCCCAACATCCCTTGATTAAGGAATATAGCTTAAATCATCTAATTTAAGGTACATTCCTCAATTAAGTGGTATTGGGCTCTCTGGGTACTCTGCGGGGCTAGATTTTGGGTTTAGGTACAAGGGTTGTGTGCCACGCAGGCTGGCGTCTCTAGACGTGCTCTAGACTTTAAACCCTCAACCCTAAATCGCTCAGCACATCCGCAGCTGAGTGCTCATGCGCTGCTATTGCTATTGACTCCTTGGCTGCTCTGCTGGATCGGACCCTTTTCGTTGGTGGGAGCCTGTACTTGCGAGCTACAGGTATACCCTATATGAGGTAATTGGGCAGAGTACTAGATCGCCAGGTCCAAGGATAGAAATAGTTCAGCATGGCTGCGTACATACGCACCGACGAACACAGATAGGTGTAGTTTATAAACAAGTAAGCTAGCTTGGTATGTACTAGTCCCGGACGCTAGCCTTGGGCCCTAAACCCTCAACGAAAACTTAAACCCTAAACTCGAAAAGCCGTGAGCTCCAAACCCTAAACCTGTAGCCGAAATCTCAAGCCTAACCCAAAACCCAGCTCCCTAAACACCTGGAGGGCTTTGGGCTCGTGTGTGCCTGTATGGCCTCCGCAAGATCTTGCTTCAAGCGCCGGCAGATTCCGCAGTTCTTCCTGTTGAAATCCCACGCTGGAATTTTGGGTTATCCGAAACTTGTCCGGAAATCTCTGCATCAGCAGCAATCTTATCCACTTCGAATGCCTAGACAAGAGCTTGGAGATTGCCAGCTGCACAGCGGCAGAAGAATGGCCGGAGCCGCCGGAGCCTTCGACCGGAGCAGGCCTCAGCCTCAACCCCGGCTCCGAAGAAGCTCCACCACCAGAGGAAGAATGCCACTGCATACGTGTCCGTCGTGTACAACGCGGACGGCGCGGTCGTTGGCGCAGCCAGCTGGCACGAACTCAGGAGCCACGACGTCGAAATCGACGTGGCCCTCAGTGTGCGGCAAGGGCGGTTCGTGGCCAACCTTCTCGCCGGGATGCAGGTGCAACTCACCAAAGGGCTTGAAAAGCTGTTGGGGTGCACAACGGGCTGCTGGCAAAGAGTAGACTTTTGCGTTGGTCTTGAAAGAGAAGATCTGGGTCTTCAGCAACCGCAAGCAGCCGACGGTTCCCATTGCCACTTCAGAGGACCTCAAGGAATGGCGAGTGGGGGCCGGACTAGCACTGCGACAGCTCCCTTAAAGGAGCTGCTGACGAGACCGTATGACGTGAAAAGCAGATTCCGCTCCGCTTCAGGTGCCTTGCGTTTTATCTTCACCTTCCCGCAACAGCTGAAAGAACTGTCAGGCTGCTATGTATATTTTGAGCAGTACAATGGCAGCCTCAGTTTTTGGGGTTTGGGGTTCGTGTTTGGGGTGTAGGGTTTAAAGTTTTTTAAGGTTTAGGGTTCGGGGCTTGAGGTTTAGGGTCCTACACACCGGCGGCTGAAGATCCCAGGGAGACTTTAAACGACAATCCCAAAACTGGAGGCAAGAGCTCAGGACACAAGATGTGGGACGTAGGTTTCGGGGGTTGGGGTGGCTTGGGCTTTGGACTTCATGTTTGAGCGTCGGGATTTCGTAAAGGGGTGTCTAGGAATCCAGATAGAACTTGACAAAGTTCTGAGGCTGCCGCAGATGAGCACAGCCGCAGCCTCAGTGGGCGAGTGACCTGGGAAATGTGGAAGCCCGGAAAATTGCCAGGATTATTGCTCAGCGTTCATGACTTTAACGTACAGCTCTATGCTAGACCCTTATTGCACCCCTTCTAGTCGATAGTCATCCTGGCGTGGAAGCCTAGACGCCAATATTATCGCTCAGGCTTCCTGGTTATGATCTTAACGAATAAATAACGTGACCGAGAGCCCTATGCAAATTCTAATGGCCTCCATACGAAACCCTTCTGGTAACCCCTTACAGTTTACAGTCATCCTACATAAAGGGAAAGGAACCTTGTCCTAATTGTATATTCGGGCCGGTATCAGGGTCCAGGGTAGCTTGGTTTACATGTTCGCATTTTGTGTAGACGCTTCTTGCTCCAGGGTGTTTGGGGATCAAAAGCAATTTGTCTAAGTGAGGCATGGTGGTATTTTTGGATTCCAAACATTGCACCAGAGCCCAAGAAGCCCTGGCTGAAATCTGAAACTGACGAAAGACTGACACAGAACGCAGAGCTAAGCGAAATGCAGCTTGCCCAGGTTGTCAGTGCTCCGGTATCGGCCGCTTGCTCGCGAAGAGCTTCAAGGAAACAGGTGATTCAGCAGGTAAAAAATTCTGACCATCCCACTCCACTTGCCAAGCTGGTCATACTCCGGATCATAGTGGTTTTGGGTTTACGGTTTAGGGACCCCAACCCATGACAACCCCAGTCAGAAGATTCTGACGGTGCCTCTTCGCCCTGAGTCCCCGAGGCCCCGGGATGCTTCGCATGGCTTTCATATACTTGTGCTCATGATGGGGAACCTTAAACCTTAAACCCCTGAGTCCCTAAGCCAAAAACCGGGGTTCACGATTCGAATGGCCCTTACCTCACGCACCCTCTGATCCTTATTCCGCCTCGAGCCCATGAATGTACACCTCGTTGCTGAGGAAGGTCAAGTGCCATCATAAACCTTGTGTGGGAATTGAGCAAGGGGTTCAGAGGACTCAGAAATCTTGTGCAAGAGCCGCCAATAATAAACTAAAGCATTATAAAGCTAGCAAGCAAAAGGCGAAACATGATCGTCGCCTTCAGTTCAAGGAGCTGATTCTCGAAATGGTGTTTCAAAGATCCGGAGTGAGGCCTGCAATGACGACAGGGATGTTCCCAGCTTCCAGGCAGTATTCCTGAAAGATGAAACTTTCAAGGTGAAAGCCTACAACTAAACCTTGCCCCAAGTTTCCGTCCCGCGGTTGCAAGTCCGCACACGTTGCAATTGGGCTTTGAGGCTAATTTCGGAGCGTTTAACGTTTAGGGTTTTAGGGTGTGTGAGACAGGATATACAGTCCTAACCCCCAAACCCAACCCTAAACCATAAACTCTAAACCCACGACGTGGAGACTACTGAGTGAGGGAGCATTTTGAAACTCAGTGTGAGCCTAAACTAGGCGAGCCTTTGACCTGTCTGCAGAGAGAAAGGCCCAACACACTTTAAAAAAAAAAAAAAAACTCTAAACCCAAACAGTATACACTGCACACGCCCCCAGCCCAAACGGTATGTACACCCTAAGCCGTAAGCCCCCAAAGGCCCACCACACTTTTCGTTTAGTCGGAGCCTGAGGTTTCAGACTCATGAGCAGAGGCAACAATCCTAGGGACCCTTTAGAGGGGTAGGGGGGTAGGGACTTTATTTGGCCTTATTAGGTCCTTATTTTCGGCATTAAGGCCCCCTACCCACCCTCCTTTAAGCCCTTACTTGGAGGTTCATGGGTAGTTATAAGTAGGGTTGTAAGTAGGATAGCTAGGGTTCTAACCTATATTAGGGGACTTATAACCCACTTGTACTTGCCCATGAGCCTCCAAGTACCCCACCTCCCCTAAACTTCAAAGGGTCCCTATGAAACAAATTCGCGGGGCTCAGGCATGAAACCCACGAGAGGCGCCTCCACCGTGGACCAGGACTGAACAAGGGTTTAGGGTTCAGACCTAGGGTGTGGGGTTTAGGGTTGTGGGTTTAGGTGTAAGTGTGTTTTTTGTCTTGTGGTGTTGATTCTTGCGCGGATCTGGGGTGTTTTATGGGTTGGCGAAAAAGGTTATGCAGCATAGTTCTGTTTAATCTTATTGTCTTATCGTCGTTGCTATTCTTAATTTTTGGTTTTTCGTGATAATTTGCCTTACAAGTAGTATGACCAATGGGTCCAGAGACCAGAAGCCCGTAGCTCGAACCACAGAGCCTTACAGGCAAGCTCCGCCGGGTAGACTTTAGCACGGTTTAGGGTTTAAGGCTTCCAAATCTGCTGCAAACCTGAAAAGCCTGAACTGCAAAACTCCGGCGCCGTAAACCCCTTAACCTTGAGAACCTTTGCTTTCGTCCTGCCGCACTTTTGCTCTTGGTTGCTTTGAGATAATACGGGGCCCAAGACCTTAAACCCTAAACCCCAAGACCCCATTCTGCCTGTTCAGGCTCGTGTATTATACAAGTTTCTGTCAGTTTTTGCGGCATCTTCTTTCCTTGCGATAGCCAAATCCACCGTTGTTTCCAAGACACCTAGACCAAGTTTGCATCCTTTGAAGCGAAATTCTTGTCGTGAAGCTGCTGTAAATAGCTGTGAAGACTTTTTGTTCCGTCATCGCTGCCAGCAACCCACTGCCCGACAACGGACGGCCGATGGCCACCGGCCCCGGCCCGGCCGGTGGTCGTTGTCATCAGCTGGATACCAAAATCATCACCATCATCATCATCATAATCGTCGTCACCGTCATCATCGTTATCATCGCCATCATCGTCATCATCATCATCATCATAATCATCGTCATCGTCATCGCCATCATCGTTCACATCATCACCGTTATCGTCATCATCCTAACCTTCATTTGCATCATCATCATCATCATCACCGTCGTCTTCGTCATCACTATCATCCTCACCAGCATCATCATCACCATAGCGTCGTTACCGACCATCGCCAAGTTCAATTGCCGATCAACATCAGCAACACCTGCAGCAGTAACCAACAACAGCAACAAAGTCTCAAGCTCAGCCCCCCCCCCAACATGTATTCATTAACATTTTCAGCCGCATCAATATCGCCATACTGCTTCATGTTGCAGTACGAGCTGTCATCATCACCAGAGTCACTATATATGTGAGGGACAGCATGATGCCTACCCCATTCATGATACTCAAACCTTCAGGCTTTCACTAAACCCCAAATCCCAAATCCTAAACTTGGAACGTCAGCTGCTACATGCACAGCCTCAAACTCCAACACAAAACCCTTGAAGGCACTCCTGGGTGACAAGAAATTCAAGTATGGGCCGCACGGCAACAGCGCTTTTGATTTAAGGTTCTAGGGTCTATGGTGTTTAAGGGCTTCAGGACTTTACGACCTTCCCTGCTGTAGCTTAAGCAGTTTTGGGCTTAAGGTGTAGGGCTTAGGGCTTAGGGCTTAAGGTTTAGGGCTTTGGGTTTAGGGCTTTGGGTTTACGGTTTAGGGTTTAGGGTTTAGGGTGTAGGTCCAGCAGTTTTGGGTTCGGGATTAAGGGTTTACGGTTCAGGCGTTGGGGCTTACGGTTGTTAGTGGTGTCGTATTGGTTCTCGGGGAGTGCACGAGATCCCTTTATTGAAATCTTCCATAACCGCAGCCGCCCTCATCAACGCCCTGAGATCAAACGGGGACTTCTGTAGCATGAGCCGGGGTTTGGGATTTGGGGTTTTTGATATGGGATGCAGGGTTTGCTGTTAATGGTTTAGGGTTAAGGGTTTGGCCATGTCATGGTGTCTTCGACAATCAACTGAGGTCCTCCTGCGAGAAGTGGAATGGAGCCGCGCCAGGCGCTTATTGCGACAAACCTTCGCTTCTGATCAGATTGGCTGTGCCAGGCAGGCATGCGAGGCAACAGGTGAGACTTCGGAACGGGATGATCCCCTACATATTTGAGGTATTCCAGGGATTGGCAGAGTCAGCCCTATCCAGATGTGTTCAATGCGGATAGCTCTCTGCAAAGTCACTTTAAACTGTTGACTGCTTCCTTCTAATGCATACTATAGAAGCCTGGTTCAAACTAAATAAAGTAAATAATTGCCTACATTATTCTTTAGGGTTCCTGATTATAACTGTACTATAAAGGAGCCCAAGGCCCAAAAATCTATTCACATGGTTAAGGCCCATATATTAGACCTCAAACTGCTGCCTAGGATGCCCAGTAGTACCCTTATTCCTTTTTTGTAGTCCTAGGTTCCTTATAAAGTTACCCAATTCCAAAAAGAGAGGCCTTTTAATTCTTAGGTTACTGGGTATCCTAGTGCCATGTCTGCCAAGAACGGCCTTCAAGTGGTGCTATGTCGGCTGGGACAGTCCCTGCGTCGATCGGAGGCTCATCTTTCAGGGTGACGCACCAAGGTTTCTCGTGACTCTACTTGGAGGATCATGGGACTTAGTAAGTAAGGTTATAAGTACCTTAATTGGGGTTATAAGTAGCTATAAGTAGAGTTACCCTAATTATAACCCTAGTTACTAAGTCCCATGATCCTTTAAGTAAGGTTCAGGGTTTTTAGGGGTTTAGGGTTTAGGGCTTAGGATTCCTGATACCTCTTCCAGAAGCAAAGTCAGTAGTTCAGTGGTACAACTTCATGCAAAAATAGCTAGCTTGTTTCCCGTTACGTAGAGTAGCAGAATCATCCTAATGTTCGGGGTGCTTCAGTTCGTTTAAGTGTAGTCTTGTTCCTAAAGACTATGTTTTGAACTTCTTAAACCCTTACACCAAGACTGCAAGCTCTAGACGTCCGGAGGACTTCAGGGCGAAATGCTTAAAACAGTATCAGAACCCCTGATCCTCTACCAACCCCTATTTATTGCAAGCATTTGAAACCCCCATAAGGAAAAGCAACTCGAAACCCTGAACCCTGAACCCGGTACCCTTAAAGAAAGCAAGCTCCGACCCAGAACCTGGGTCCCTAAACCCTAAACCCTAAACCCTAGCTGCGTAACCAGAAAAGGCCGCTGCACCTTAAAAAAAAACCCTAAGCCGGTGAGGTTAGAGTTTACAATCAGCTCAGCGATGGCCAGGAAGGACACAACCATATCGAGCAGCTACAAGGTCTGCTCCTCGGGTTTAGGGTTTAGGGAGTTTGTAGAAAACCGGGTTTAGTGCTGGATACCCCGAGCGAAAATTGAGACTGTCACAGGTTCGGGGTCAGGGTGCGACGTCGGACACGAGGGCTTGTTGTTGCTGATCATTTCTCGGATCAGGAGTTTTTGAGGTGGGGTGCTCGAGGCTTGAGATGGCTTGAGGATTCACCTGCTGAGTGATGACGATTTAGGATAAAGGAAGTTTAGGCCTTATCTACGAAGCGGATATATGATGCTTCTTTTACAAAGGCTCTAGGCTTCAGGGGTTCCAGGTTCTGCCTTCTGCTGCAGCTTTTGTTGGGCTTTTGGGCTAAGGGTCTGGGCATTTTGTGATCAAGATCAACGACTGTTCCTTGGACGTAGGTGTGCGGGGTTGTTTTTGAGTTAGAGTTTTGGCAGACATGACTACTTGTAGCAACTCCGTGTTTGTCGATGCATGCAGTTTGTGGTTGCGTGATTTGTGGTGTGTTGGCGACCACAGCTAGGAGCTCCACCCATAGGCGATCATGTTCCATTCGATGCCAAGGAGCAAGAGATTCCCTCCCAGTACTGGTGGTGGGCTCAGGGACGATCAGTCCAGGAAGATTCACTGCCGTAAGCCAATCGCGAATCACGAACATCAAGCCCCAAAGTAGCACTCTCTAAACCCAAAGTCTTACACCGCCCTTCCTTCTCTGTTATCTCTCTACCTGGTGGGGGACGTCAGGGCCCTATCTCTAGTCCTATGGGTGTCCAAGACAACACTACCGCTTATGACGTAAATCCTGCATTACCTAAATGACCGTAGACTATGGGAATTCTGGGGGTAATGCAGGGTTTAAACCCCTAAACCCTAAGACCCTATAGATCCCTTCAAGGAACCCCTTAAAGGTACCCTTATAGATCCCTTTAAAGGAACCCCCAGGATTATAGAACCACGAATAGAAGATTACGAGCACTGTTGGGCCAGAAGGCCAGAGCGACACTACGGTTGATGATATAAATACGGCATTACCCATAATTTACAAGGAACATACCAGAATTCCCATAGCCTATAGGGTCATTAAGGTAATGCTGGATTTATATCATCAACAGTGGCAGCAGTCAGAACGCGTGACAGGCAATGAGGGTTCAGGGTTTACGGTGTAGGGGTTTAGGGTTTAGGGTTTAGGTTTCAGGGTTTTGGGTTCTCGGTTTACGGGGTTTGGGGTTTAGCAGCCGCCCATCGATGTTCAGAACGCCGTCGTCAGGCAGAACATGACCTCGCGAACATCGTAGTCGTAGTGATCAAAGATTCTAGCTGCTTCTTGCTAGCATCCAAGCCTGACAGCCTTAGGGCAGGCCCTTTCAGCCAAGTCCCGAATCCATGAACTGTGAACCCTCTGAACCCCAACTCGGCAGATTATATGCAACAGCCCAAACAGGAAAGGCTTCAGTGTTCTCAAGTATCCTCTAAGCCCCACCTAAATCCTAAATCCAACATCCTAAACCGGTAAACTGCTAAACCCTAAACCCCTAAACTCCTGAACCTGTAACCCTAAACCCTAAACCTGTAAGCTGCTAAACCCTAAACTCCTAAGCCCTCAAACCCTAAACCCGAAAGCCCAAACGCTCTGCAGTTTCCTAGGTCGAGTGTCGCCTCCGAATGCGATGCACACGGGCTTGCCCTGAGGAATGCATCGGATGCCTGTGAGAACCTGCACCCAGACTTCAAGGATTTGGGGTTTAGGTTTCAGGGGCTTGGGGGTTTAGGGGTTTAGAGTTTGGGACATAGGATTTAGGGTTTAGCGTTTTGGGGTTAGTGTTGGAGTGCTATTAAACTGAAAGCAGCTGGTCGTCGTTGTTCATGTTCGCTCCATTTTTACCCCACCAGCCATAATCATGTTACCAATACCATTGCTGGGGTTCCTTAATTTGGTTACAGCATAATCAGTATAATCTACTCATATCTACCCCAAAACCCAATTCTGATTATGAAGGCCCCGAAACAGTACCCTTATAGTATCCCTTTAAGGAACCCTTGAAAGGAACTCCTATTCTAATTATTAAGGCTCCCATATCACGCGCCTCCCAGGCGAGCCCTCGAGGTTCCTTACTATGATTATAGTACAAAGGGCCCCAAAACCCTATTCTAATCATTAAGGCCCCATCGTAGACGCTAAGGGCCCTAGAAGCATCATCACGCAGTTGTTGGTGATGGTGATGACGATGAGATTGGGAGGAAACACCCACAACCCAAGCACCAACCCTGGGATTCGAAGTCAGGGTTACGGTGATGTGGTGGGGTGGGTGTGGGTAGCGGTAGTGGTTGTGTCGTGCTAGTGGTCGTGGTAGCGGTCGCCTCCCAACCCCCGCCCGCCGCGAGCGACAAAGAAACATCCAAACGCTCACGAGAGGGGCGGGGTGTCAAAAAGGGAATAAATAAAGCTTACTTCCTGGCTGACACCACCAAAGTTTGGGAATGGGAGTTGAGGCCCCCAAATCGTGAACTTGTCGTGGACCGCAGCCCATTAAACGGTTTTGGTTTTGACATGAGTTGATGTTGGAGCTTTTTCAGTCCAGGGTGAATTGAAGTTGTGGCGAGTTGGGAAAACTCTAGACCCCTAAACCCTGAAACCTAAACCGAGTGTCAGAATGCTCTGAAACCCGAGTACCGACAAGACAACAGCCCTGCGCTATACCGGTCCTTCTAAGCCCTAAGCTTCTACGAGTTCAAGAAACCGGGGTTGCCTACGATGAGTATAGTATAATGGGCCCCAAAACCCTATTCTAATTTTTATGGCCCGTATATAATAGTACCCTTATTCTACAACCTGTATAGTAACCCCTATAGATCCCTTTAAAGGAACCCTTTTCTTCTAATTATTCAGGCCCCTTTGTAGGCCCTTTAAGCCGCAAGTGTGGCCTGCCGCCGATGCTCAGGGATTCCGTGGCGAACGTTGTCGGGTGCTTACGACCGGTCAAGCGAGCAGGGCACTCCTGTCAAAGACTCGTAAGGGGCTTTGGGTTTGGGTCGCGAGGGTTGCCTTAAGGGTGCCAGAAGGTTTCTTCACCGGCTGAATCTGAGTGTTCCTTGGCAGCTAGTTCGGATCTCCTGTTTGCCCAAACTCCCCAATTGGCCACCCTCGAAAGCATTCTAAAACTCAACTATTTTAATTGCGAGCCAGGCCTAAGCCCAGAACTTCTAAAAATGAACCCGAACCTCCAAACCATAAAGCCATGAACCATGAATCCAAGAGGCTGCGCAGGCGAATAGACGGGTATCCTTAACATCCTGGAGCAGCCTTGTCTAGATGTATTCTTGTTGTTGCTATTGTTGCCATGCCTGCTGGTCAAGTTCAGCTTGTTGTCCTGACTGGTGCTGCGGTTTGCACCTTTACCGGTGCTACTAGTTTCTACTGTTGTTTTCATCTTGGTCCACCTTGGAAAGCTCTTTTCTTTTGGTGGCTTGGGTTTCCTAAACCTTAAACTCTAAACCCTAAAACCTAAAGCCTAAACCTGATACTGAACGACGGACCCCGCAGAAGAGAAATCTTTTCTTTCCTGAGACTGCCAGTGTTCTAGGTCGCTTCAACCCCCGAACCTTACTTAAAGGGTCATGGGACTTAGTAACTAGGGTTCTTAAAGGGCTCCTTTAAAGGGATCTATAGGGTTTCTTAAAGGGATCTATGGGGTTTAAGGTTTATGGTCTACTTAAAGGATCATGGGACTTAGTAACTAGGGTTATAATTAGGGTAACTCTACTTATAACTACTTCTAACCCCAATTAAGGTACTTATAACCTTACGTACTAAGTCCCATGATCCTCCAAGTAGACCCTAAACCCTAAACCCTATAGATCCCTTTCCTTTAAGGAACCCTACAGATCCCTTTTTAAGAAAGCCATCTTAGCAAACCTGCGACGCAAGACAAAACCTCGTGAGCCAAAGCGCTCCCTGGGGTGTTTGTAAGGGAGGTTCCTACTTGGAAGGGCAGGGGACTTAGTAAGGTTCCTTAAAAAAATTCCTTAAAAGGGCTCCTTAAAGGGATCTATAGGGGTTCCTTAAAAGGGATCTATGGGGTGCTTGTAAGGGAGGTTCATAGGATTGTATACAGGGTTTCAGCTTTTGGGTGCGGTGTTGTATATGGGAGTTTCCGAAATCCAGGGACCCCAATATAGTGCCCTAAATAGCAGGATCCTTATTATAAGGACCCCAAAATAACGTACCCCTAATAAAAGGTTTGCTGAATGCGCACTTAAAGCATCATGGGACTTAGTAACTAGGGTTATAAGCTGGGTAACTCTATTTATAACTACTTATAACTCCAATTAAGGTACTTACAACCTTACTTACTAAGTCCCATGATCCTCCAAGCATGACCCTGACAAGTGGTGCAATCGGGCCACCCAGAAAGCAAGCCTGCAGTGTCTTTTTTTGTTGGTGCCTCCGCGCACGCACGCTCGCGCTTGCGAGCGCCAAAACCCAACCAAATTTGAAGTCTTGGGGCGCCGAAGGCGTCAAGTTTGACAACGTTGTTGTCAAATTAGCCAACAGCGTTGTCGAATTCAACGCCTTCGATGTGCAAAGACGTCACATTTGACACCAGTGTTGTCAATGTTGACAACTGTGGTGTTCCCTTTTTGTAGTCCTAGGTTCCTTATAAAGTTACCCAATACCAAAAAGAGAGGCCTTTTTATTCTTAGGTTACTGGGTATCCTAGCAACACTGGTGTCAAGACTGGTTTTCGGACTGCGGTTTTGACATCAAAACACTTTTTTTGTTGACGTCACTTTTGGTGCGAAACACTTATGGCTGGACTGCTGAGGGGCCCCATTTTTCGAAATTTACAGGTTCTATGGGAAAACCTAAATGATAGTCTGAAGTTCAATTGGCCACCCAACTTTTCTCTGAACGGTCTAGATTTGTGCGAAAATGGCCTACAATAAGCTCAACCATCGGGCTACATGCATGCCCAATGGTTTTTCGAAAGCAGTGTCACACAAAAGAAAAAGGGAGGTGCAAATTCACTTTTTGGGATTTGCAATCACCCTTGACATCACTTCTGGAAATTCTATTTCCTGTGCGCCATGAAAAAATCCATGGCCGTGCAAGTCAACAGAAGTTTTGGGAATGTTTCGAACAGCATGCAGCTCTGTTTTCTTCCTTGCTTGAGAAGATATTCCACTGGTTGAGTTTCATATGGCTGACAGGAGTTTCATACACGCTTGTGAAATGCACGCTTGCAGCAGTAATTGTTAGTCCTTATAGGATTCTTATAAGCTGCAAAAGCCTAAACCCTACACCTGTGCACCCTGAGCGCCTGCAGCTCAAATCCCTTCCCCCCATGTGCAGGTCTGCTTGATTCACCTCTTCTTGTCACTGCCGATGCCCTGTGCTCGGTTGTAGAGTTTGCTCTTGAAGCAATTCGCGCGGAGTGGCTTTAGTGGCTGGTTCGGTTGTGGTTGTTGCAGTGGTTGTGTTCGTTGTTGGTACACACTTGCACACGTGCATCTGTGTGGGTCTTTATCTATACCTCTATGTCTTTATGTGTAGCCTGCTGCCTAGGGTTGCCGTGCTGTACAACTTCATCTCTAACCGGTGTGGCGATGACATCAAGCCTCCTGGCTCCTTTCATCGAGGTCGCTCTTCGGGGCTTCAGGGGTGTCATAGGCCATAAGGTTTCGGCATCAGGGGTGAGGGTTTAGGGTATAAGGAATTTCTTGCAAACTGCCCGTATGCTTGTTCTAGGAGTGTAATCTTTAGGTATTCGCACAGGCCACAAGGGAGTTTTGGGGCCGAGACAGATGAGTATCGGGATTTTGGGGTTTATTATACTGTAATCAAACGGCTCGCAGGAAGGCTGCCCTAAATACTTTCGGAGAAAGGCAAGGGGAAGACGAAGGGCAAAGGCAAGAGCAAGGGCAAGAACAAAGGAAAGGGCAAAGCCAGGACCACAACGGGTCAGTCTCCTGGAGCTCTTTCGGAGGAGGCAACTGGCCGATGGACGACTGGGAGCCATATGGAAAATGTTTTGGTTCAGCTTACACTTTTCGAAATGTACATGTATAATGTGTGTGTTGCTTCATGTTCGCATGGGGGTGTCTTTAATTGATGCACTTTCATTTTTGTACGGCTTTAACCGGTGCTTATAGTAAAGAGCACTACCCAGTATAGTCACCACAAAACTCTGACATACAGGAGGAGTCTTGAGTGGTCATCATGTATTAGTTTCTAAACTTGTGAACGATTCTGTGAGAACGGACAAGCCCCAGCTCGATAGGATGGACATGACTCAAACGATGCACAGGCTAAAGACTAACTAAACTCGGAATAAACATATAAAGCTTACAGTTGATATCAATACAAGACAGCGAGAACAACAAACACATGTAATCATCACCAACAATAACATAGCGTAACCAAAGAAGAGTAGAATGGAGTAGAAAGTTCAATGCGCAGGCAAACATGTTGAATTCTCTTGGGTCTTCCCCTCTGTCAGCTGGCTTCTAAGAACAAATATGTCAGCAGAAGAAGCCATAATTCTATTGTGAGTGATTGTGTATGTTGATAAACCGTGCAAGCACAGGTGCGAATGTTGGAAATGTAACAGCATTTCGCTTTATCAAACTGAATAAACGTAGGACTCAACGATCAATACAGGTACTTTTTGCAGGTCGGGCGAATATAAAAAGTATGAAGTAAAGAGTGTTAGCTGGGTTGGTATTACTGATGCAATAAGGACGGTGAGTCTCACCATAGTAGTGAAGGCACTGGCCACAGGAAGAGCATCATTTGTAAATGTAACAGTGAAACTACACTTGGTGCTGGCATAGAAGAACATGTTAGTACTTTAGTGTACTTTGTGCATATGACGAAGAATAGTGGAGATTGGAAAGGGTTGCAGGGACACGTCGACGATGGCATACAATCCAAGCACAAACCGTTTACAAGGGGGGAGCATATGCATATATATATATATATATATATATGGTCACGCGCTCCGCGGCCCCCCCCCCTCCTCCCCCCCCTCCATGGTCTATGGTCCAGGAGCCCCCCCCCTCCTGTGGTATGGAGTGTGGGTTCCCTCTTCCCGCTGTGAGGTGGTTGTGGGGGTTTTGGGGTTTTGGGTTTAGATTAAGCTTTTGAGTTTTGGGTGTAGGGTTTTAGATTAAAAGATGTAAGGCTTCGAGTCGACACAGGTTTGGGGATAGTTTGGGGTGTAGGTTCGTTAGGGTTGACCGTTTATGTTCTGGTGTAGGCTTAGAGCCTGCATTTAGGCGGGGTTTAGGGTTGGGTGCAGGGTTTGAGTTTAGGTTGAGGTTAATAAGAGCAGGAGCAGCGCTGCTGCGATAGGTTATAGGATTTATGGCTTGCGTAGATAAATATAATAATACATATATATATATATATTATATAATATTTTATAATACAACATAATATAAAATACTATAATATAATCTTATATATATATATATATATGCATACATATTGGTATATATATATATATGTATATACTATATTTATGTGTTTCATGTTTATGTGAGTTCATTGGAGACAGTTCTATATCGGGGTCCCCAACTTGCTGGAACTCGCTAAGTCTATTGCTCTGAGGATGGAGAGCCAGTTCGCCATCGAAAGCAGCTGGGATGCGAAACCTGGGGTTAGGGGCTTTGGGGGATTTGTGGTATTTAGGGGCTTGGATGCTTCATGGGGTTGGGTGTTTAGGGTTTAGGGGCTCTGCCGTGTTTCAGGAGGTTTAGATATAGGGGATTTTCGGGGTTTTTGCGGTTTGAGGTTTAGGGTCGAGACCTGTTGCAGAGATTTTCGGACCTAATTGTTGTATGCTGAGCCCTGAACTCGAGCTGCCCCACACCCTAACCCTCGAAGCCAAGGCCGAGAATCTGAGCCCTAGATCCAGATTCAGACCCTGCACACTGGACCCACTGGCATTTGCAGCGCGATTTTCCCATACTTTGTAGAATTCCAGATAGTGCCCTCGTCCCTAAGCCCTCGTACAGGCAGCAGCAGTGACGAGGACGACAATGATGAGTTCGAGGCCGGTGTGGCCGACGACCGGGAGGCCGATCAAGTTTGAGGGCTTGGGCTTTTCTCGTTTCTAAATTTAAAATTTCCACAATCTGGTGCCAACCGAACCTTTCGAACCAGAAAAGCCAAACCCGGAATGTTGGGGCCGTAAGGGTGTGGGCTTTTGCGTGGACTTTCGGTAGGATTGGTTTTCTGGTTTCCACTTTAACCAGTTCAAGAATCCTACTCCCTGAGGCCCTCAAGAACTTAGAACCCCACGTCCAAGGGCCAGAAATTCTTGAGTTAAATGCTGAGCCGGGTGGTGCTTTCAAGGTTCCGTGGGTTGAGAGTTTCATAAGGGTTGCTGTACTTGGAGGATCATGAGACTTAGTAAGTAAGGTTATAAGTACCTTAGTTGGGGTTCCTATTCTAATTATGAAGGCCCCTCATATCATGGTATAGTTGCTGGGGCTCAGAGTCGTTACTCCGGGGTGCTGAACCCCAGAGCTTCACCGAATCCCCAGGCCCCAAGAGTAACATCCCGAGCGGAACCCTGAAACCAAGAACCACACGTTAGGACGAAAGCGAAAGTGCGGGTGACGACGCTGCTGTCCCGTAGCCTCGGCCGCATTGTATGACTGCTACAGGTGCTGCTGCTCCTGCTGCTACTACTACTACTACGACTACTACGACTACTACGACTACTACGACTAGTACGACTACTACGACTACTACTACTACTACTACTACGACTACTACGACTACTACGACTACTACGACTACTACGACTACTACGACTACGACGACGACTACTACTACTGCCGTTTTTACTACCACGACTACGACTACTACGACGACGACTACCACTACTACCACTACTACTACGACTACGACGACTACGACGACTACCACTACTACTACTACTACTACTGCTACTACTACTACTACGACTACTACGACTACTACGACTACTACGACTACTACGACTACTACGACTACTACGACTACTACGACTACTACGACTACTACGACTACTACGGCTACGGCTACGGCTACGACTGCTACGACGACTACTACGACTACGACGACTACGACGACGACTACCACTGGTACTACTACTACTACTACTACTACTACTACTACTACTCCGACTGCTGCTACTGCTGCTACTACTACTACTACAACAACTACCACTACTACTACTACTACTACTACTACTACTACTACTGCTGCTACTACTACTACTGCTGCTGCTGCTGCTGCTGCTGCTACTGCTACTGCTACTGCTACTGCTACTGCTGCTGCTACTGCTACGACGACTACTACTATTACTACTACTACTACTACTACTACTACTACTACTACTACTACTACTACTACTACTACTACTACTACTACTACTACTACTACCACTAGGGCACAATAGTAATGGTAGTCATGAGATGAGTAGCAACGAAAGTGTGCGACAATGCTCATAGCAGAGAACCGCATGCAACGAAATAGAGAACTATGCACTTTTGCTGCCAACAAGTACACAATACAACTGCCTCGCGCAACGGGCAGTGCTTGAAGCCCCGTTCAGTGAGTTTCTGCTTGCCAACATTGCGTGGGGCATGTTGAGAGCTGTAATATATATATATATACACACATCTATATGTATATGTATATATATATATATATATATATATATATATACATATATATATATATATATATATATGTAGAAGCGTAAATACTTATCAATACTATTCCCTAGTGTTCGTTTTTCTAACTATACTATAGGACACTCCCAAATCTGTTCTAATTGTTGAGACCCGATAGTAATGCAGACGACAGAAACGCAAAGATCCTCCGAGGGTTCTACATCATTCAGGTTTGCGGGGTTCTCACAAACAGCGCCGATGCCCCGATGTGTCCTGAAGCCCAGACTCCATGACCCCGAACCCTAAACCCCAAATTCTAGGTTATCGAACAAACACCACAATGGGCAGTTTTGTGCCGAGTGATGGTTCACCAAATCTGCATTCTGTTCAGGGGCTGGGTTTGTAAGTTCAGGTTTTCATGCGTTCGGTTTTAAAGTTTGGGGCTGTTCGTGTTTGGGGTTTAGGATTGTGGAGTTTTATACTTTAGGGTTCAGGGTCACGGGATGTTACGGGGCTTTAGAGTTCAGGGTTCAGGGAATCGTAGGGGATCCCCAGACAGACCAGGCAGTTCGCCGGCGAAGACGCAGCCCCGAACCTCGGCGAGCATGTTTATCCCTCAATTGACAAGCTTAGGATTGAAGGGGCTTACAGTAGTGTCTAGGATTTAGGGTTTAGGTTGAGTAGTTCTGTTGCGTAGTTCGGTCTGTTCAGCTTGGGCCGCCACTACTTCTGTACTCGCTTTTCGGCCTTCTTTGCATGGACGTGCAGGACACCTTTACGCGAGCGTGAGTGAGTGAAACCCTAAACCCTAAACCCCTGAACCCTAAACGTCTAAACCCTAAACCCCTAAACCGAGTGTAGACAACCTCTAAGCTCTGGCCCCTGAGCCACCTAAGCTCAACATCCTCAACCAAATTATTGGGAGTTTCCGAAAATTAGGGTTACCACCTTATTTTGGGGTTCTTATAATAAGGATCCTACGCAGTTGCTTGCGGTGAATGTTAGGTCCGCTGGTATGTAGTGTCGTCACGTTTAGCGTCGTCACGGCGTAACGTTTAAGGGGATTGACAGTCCGAAACCGCCGGCGTGGGACTTGGTTGCGTGTGTGTGTGTGTGTGTGTGTGTATATGCGTGCGTTGGCATGGTTTCGATCTTGTTCGAGGTGAAACGCACCTTGACAGACGCGGAAACGAAGGCCTTGCGCTGTAGGTTGAACCCTCAACTTTAATCGTATGTCCATTTGGTGTTACTTGATCTGCTAGGAGCGGCACGCTGCCTTGGATGTCTACATAGCGTCCCCATTATTGGTTACTACAGGGTTCTATACTAGGAGCCCCCCTAAACTCTAAACGCTAAACCTTTTACCCTAAACCCTAAACCGTTTACCCTAAACGCTAAACCCTGGTGCATAAAAGCCGCGCTAGGCCGCGCTCAACTTGCCTTCTTCCCAGGAAGCCAGAGGAGGCCGCGGAGAGTGCCCTGCCGAAGAGAAAGGATCGGGGTTTTGGGGTTCGGGGTTTGGGGTTCAGGGTTTAGGGTAGTAGTAGTAGGGTCTAGAGTTTAAGAGTTTAGAGTTTTGAGACTTTTTTTGGGCTTTAAAGCTTTAGGTCTTCAGGTTTAGGCTTTGAGGTTCAGGGGTGTTCCATTGGTGGCGCGTCCGTATTGTTTACTTTGACGTTGCGCTTTATGGCTTCGGGTGCGATTTAGGCTCTGGTGTGTGGGCATTTGCAAGGCAATCGCAGTGGAAGTTCGGTGTTTATGATGCCGGGTAGGTATCTTTCGGTGACTTCACTAATGCTCTCACCAAAAACCATTGAATCTGCAGCCTGCTAGACAATTTCCTGCCGCACCCTACATAGCAGTATTACCCAAAACTCTCCGCATCGGGATCCCTGTCGCAGCGTGTTGTTTCACCACCAAAAGCATCTTACTGCAGAGAGAACCCCGACCACGGGACAGAGGTCGAATTGCCACCGGGGTTCCGCTGCAAAGACGCCCCCTGTACCATAGGGGCCAAAATGATTTACCAATACTATTTGGGGGTTCCTTATGATAAGTCTTGCATAATGGGCGCCAAAACCCTATTCTATTTATAAAGGCTCAACACCCGAATTGCAAAATCTGAAAGCCCATGCCCCCCTAAACTCATACACTCTTCCTTAAGTCATGATAAGCCCTGTATGATCTAAGGATGAAGAAGCACAAAACGTTGCACAAGCCTCGTAACGCTTTTCAAGATAAACCTTTACTACTATGCACCATTGGGCGGCGCATTCCGAGGCTCGTTTTGAGAGACCTGGTTGCCGAGCAGCTCCTGCGGTGCAGACTGGTGCAGGCCGATGTTTCATAATTCAGGGTTTCAGAATAACGAATGTTCTTCAACGAGGGCTTTAGAGTGATTTGGCATTCTAAGTGTTTCAGGGTTGTGTTCAAAGGCCTACATTGGTAAACTAAGTTTTTGCACGCAGTGTCTGGGGTTCAGATATGGTGGTGGGAGGTTGTAAAATTTGGGTGGCGTACGGATTGAGGCGGGTTTGGGGTCTGGGGTTTAGGATCTGGGGAATAGGGTCGGGTTCGTAACTATTTCGGATTGAGGGCTTTGGATCATGTTAGGGTGTTACCGCAGGCATGTGATTCCGTAATACGGTTTGCAGTCTCGCATATGGCCGACTCGAATCTAGTTGTGGGGTATACTACATGCAGTCTTTATTTCCAGGAACCCTAAACCCTAAAGATTAACTATACTGGGATGCTACAATCCGATGATTTCAGAGCCCCATATCAGACCCTGAAGTGCTCTGCTCTCTCACGGTTTGCTGCTGCACGGTTATCCGGACTGTGCACTAGGGCTTTGGGTTTAGGTTTAGGGCTAGACAACAGCCAAAATTTCAGCTGGTAGAACCCACAGACCTGAGCCAGATGACCCCTAAACCCTAAACCCCCACTCTCATCTCGCCCCGTGGCCCCTTGGGCCCATTTCTGCAACACCCCAGCACTCAGCTCCAAACCTCGAACTCCGCACCGGAGCTCTACGATGCGGCCACCCTTCTGATTTAAGCTCGAGTATGGTGTGTGGCCCTTTCTCGCATAGCTACAGAAGAGTTGTTGCTGCTGCTGCTGCTACTGCTACGGCGACGACTGCTACTACTGACCATCAACTACTACTACGACGACGACTACTACCACTGCTACTTCTTCTTCTACTACTACTAACACGAATACTTCTACTACTGCTCCTACTGCTACTGCCACTGCCCCTGCCACTGCGACTACGATCGCGACTGCTACTGCCACTGCCGCTGCTGCTGCTACTGCTGCTGCTAGCGCTGCTGCTGCTACTGCTACTGCTGCTGCCACTGCTGCTGCTCCTGCTACTGCCACTGCTACTGCCACTACTACATGTGTGATGACGGCAAGGAAAAGTAGTAGTAGTTGTGTAGGTAGGTTCTTCCTCCACAACGGGTGCAATGCACTGTTGCTTCTTGCAGATTCTGTGGCGTTAAGCGCACAGCATTGAGCTCCTCGAGAGCTTCGGCATAAGTCCGTGCGTCTTGCCAGGTGGATGACGCTCCGCTGCACTGCTGCTACTACTGCTGCTGCTGCTGCTGCTGCTGCTATCGCCACTGTTACCGTTACTGCTACTACTCTTGATGTCGATGCTGAACTTGTATAACTGAGAATGATCTTGCAGATGATTTTGCCAGTGCATCAATCCAATGGTGCGTGAATGCACAAGTATAGCCGGGACTCGAATTCAGAGAACTATCCGCGCATATGCATGCTTTAGTAGCTGGATGAGTATTTACACCTTTTGAACAGTAAAATTCCATATGGAACTGAAAGTTCAAGCTTCCTTGGGGCTTCTGAAGCCGGCAACCAAAACTCACATATCCATTGTAATGTAGAGGCCTGAATAATCACCATTTCTGGCGGGTGCCTTATTATAGTTATAGTATAATGGGCCCCACCCCCCCCCCCCCCTACATCAGTGCCCTTTTTTGTGGCAGGTCCATTCATGCCAGCGAAGTGCCGATGAGAGCGAGGGATCATGTGTCACCGCCTCCCTTCAGAGTTGAGCCCTGGGAGTCTGAACTAGCGGCGTTTAAGGGGGGCTTTTAGGGGTTCTATGTTTAGGAGTTTAGGGTCTTAGGGTTTAGGGGGCTCAGGGTTTAGGGGTTCTATGTTTAGGAGTTTAGGGTCTTAGGGTTTAGGGGCTCAGGGTTTAGGGGTTCTATGTTTAAGAGTTCAGGGTCTTAGGGTTTAGGGGTTTAGGGTTTAGGAGTTCAGAGTCTTAGGGTTTAGGGGCTTAGGGTTCAGGCAATGGAAACCTCTGTCTGTCCATTTCCCCGCTTTGTTGCCTGTGGAGCAGCCAGCCTTGGATGCGAGTGTGCCAAAAGTTGCTCGGAACCCTAAACCATAAACGGGGAGTTGTCAAAATTAGGGTCCCTTTTTGGGTCCCTAATATAATACGGCACCTGACATTTAGGGTACCCAAAAAGGGACCCTAATTTTGACAACCATCCAAACCCCGAGCCCCAGATTCAAGCCGAAGGTGGAAGCTTTCAAAAAAAATGTGAGGCTTCTGTCACGCAGCGCATTATGGCTTGTGGATGTTTTGCAGTTTATGGGGCCTTATATGAGTTCGACAGCGGTTGAGGCATATTGTGGCATAGTTTCAGAAACATAGAACCCCAAATAGACCCCAAATAGCTGGGTTCCAGTGTTTACGACCCCCTTGTTTAAAAATCGCATACGGAGACTCTGGAAGAACAGTAGTCTGCTCAGGATCCAATACCCAGCCACTCGAACCGCTCTTGATGAAGGACATTTCATTTCGTGATAGTAAATGAAGGACAATTCCTTTGTAAGAAACCATTGACCCTAAGCCTCCATCCCGGAACCCTAAACAGAGCTCCGGGATCAAACAAGATGGAACCTCCTCTCCGCCGATATCACCCCAAACCCTAAACCGTAACCCTAAACCCTAAACCCCAAACCGAATCTGGGAGTTTGTGGCCACAGACGGGTTTAGGGTTTAGGCCCCAAAACCCGAACCAAAAGCTACGGGTCTGGCAGGTCGGCCCACAGCCGACTTGGGGAGCTTTCGGTTTCCAGAGACGCAGGGTCCTAAACACTATACCCTAAACTAGGGTTTAGGGTTTAGGCTAAAAAAAACCTTTACTAGGGTTTAGGGTTTAGGGTTTAGGCTTAAAGAAAGCCCCTAAGCTAGGCTCTCGGAGGAAGTCCTAGGGTTGTAATGGTTAAGAGCGTAGTAGGAGCTTGACCGATTCAGGGCTCAGAGGTCCAGGCCCTCCGAGACGTTTAAAGGGGCCCCCAAAATAGGTCCACACCCTACTTGGAGGATCATGGGACTTAGAAAGGGTCCTTAAAGGACTCTTTAAAGGGATCTAGAGGGTTCCTTAAAGGCGATAAGGGGCCGACAAATACGTCCACACCCTACAGTAAGCCCCATAAAGTTGGAAACCGGATAATTTAGCAACCTAAATAGTAGGATCCTTATGATAAGGACCCAAAATAAGGTACTCCCAACTGTCGGAAACTCCCATATAAAGTAAACCCGATAAAGTTGGAAACCGGATTAAGGCCAAACAGTGCTGGGATTCCCTGTAGATTGCTCTTAAGGATCCACGCTATTGGGTTTCCAATTTTTGGGCTTCTACTGTATATGCTCAATCCCAAACCCTCATGTCCAAAAAAGCCCTATCACCCGGGCCAGCTGTTATTGTCCCCTGGGTCGGAACTCGTTACGACATGCTTCTGTAACGGTGTCGGCTTTCCACCGAAACACGTACTTTTATTGAACATGAGACCACATCCCATGAAACAACAAGAACGAACTAGCATCAAGCGTGACATTGGGTTTTGGTCCAGCATGCGTGAATGCATACATACAAACAAAGTCATTGTCCCCTCGATTTCTCGGGCTTGAAACTTGGGGTCCTTCGCTTGATGATATAAATCCTGCATTACCCATAATAAGGAATATACCGTAATTCCCATAGTTTAGGGTCCTTAAGGTAATGCAGGATTTATATCATCAACAGTTCGCCTAATGCGTACCCGGAGATCTGAGTTTGCCAGAAAGTGGAGGAGTGGAGGGCCGGTGTTTACGTTAGTGGCTACCAGCAACGTGGAACACATTGAAGCACCACATCGCAAATCCCAAGCTCTTGTCTAAACCCGTAAGCCCCCAGGCAAAAGTTCAAGGTTGCACTCTGAACCCCTAAACTCTAAACCTCTAAACCTCTAACCCTGAGAGTCCTCGTCCGGCAAGGTTCTGACCAGGAGCGAGCAATCTTGGAATTACTGCGCCCTCCATCAAGAACCCTTAGAAAACGGATAGTGCATCCCCAAGTATCACCTCTTTGCAACCTTATAAGCTCCCGTGGAGCCCCATAGCCCTTAAATTGAAAGAGGGGGATGTTGTGCTGGGCCCCGTGTTCCTGGTTTCTGAAGACGTCGTCGGGACGAAAGAGGGGGTCAAAAACACATCCGTCCCAAACTAGGCTAGACCCTACTTGGAGGGGCAGGGACTTAGTAAGTTGTTCATAAGTACGGTTATAATTGGGGCAACTCCATTTAGGGTACTTATAACTCTACTTATAACCTACTTACTAAGTCCCCTGCCCTTCCAAGCAAGCTGTAAAGCCTTTAACCCCAAACCCAAAACTCTGATCTCGACGCCCGACGCCCTAAACCCTGAGCCCCTAAACCCTAAACCCTAAACCCCTGAAGCCTGAACCCCAAACCCTAAACCCTGTGCCCCCTGACCCTGTCGACCCGATCTGATAATCCTGGATAGCTACCAATGCGACTCCTTCAGGATCTTTAAACTATTATTTGCTTAAGACCCCCCCCCCCCCCCCAAAAAAAAAAAAAAAAATCCTTATGGGGGTAATATAGGGATTATGATTTTTGTTTTTTGGGGGCTTCTTAAGCAAATAGTAGTATTGCAGAACATACACCAAAGCCCAGTTCTATTTGTCAAGGCCACTGTGTCCCCTTAAGCCCGAAACCCTACAGCCCGGAAACCATAAGCCAGGTATTGGCGGAACAGGCCAGCTTTGTCGGTGTTTTTGCAGAAAGAATTCCCTTCGACTGGGGATTCAGGGTGTAGGGCTAAACAGTCTTAGGGTGTACAGCTCAGGGTGTAGGATGTAGGGTTCAGCTGCTTCAGGGTTTAGGATTCAGGTAAGGAAGGGTCATCCCGTTAACTTATGTAGGGGTTGTAAAGATGTCTTATCTTCTGTAGTCTGGTTACTATAGTGGT